CTAGATTATAATTTTCTATTTCTCTAGATTATAATTTTCCATTTCTCTACATTATAATTTTCTATTTCTCTAGATTATAATTTTCTATTTCTCTAGTTTATAATTTTCTATTTCTCTAGATTATAATTTTCCATTTCTCTACATTATAATTTTCTATTTCTCTAGATTATAATTTTCCATTTCTCTACATTATAATTTTCTATTTCTCTACCTTATAATTTTTTATTCTCTAGGATCTTCAAGACGTTTGAATTAATTTATAGCAATATACTTTTGCCCCAACTATTCAGCAGCTTGATGATCCTCTCCTTGATGGGGTGTCAGCTGGTGCTGGTGAGTCCACCAAAGAGCAATCGTCGAATGAAAAATTTTCAATTTCTTCGTATTCCAGACAAAGTATGACACCGATGAGGAAGTGCATGACATGGTGCACCCCCTCGTCTTCGTCATCTGGGGAACTATGGAATTATACATTTATTGCGCCGGTGGTAATAATATTCTCGTTGAGAGTGAGAATATAAGTTCATCCGCTTATAATACGGAGTGGTACAATAACGACAAGGAATTCAGGGAAAATCTTTCAATTTTCCTAGCTCTCGTGAAGAAACCTCTGGGTCTCCACATCGGAGGAGTCGTCAGCTTGTCGAAGGACACATTCAAGAATGTAATTGAATTTTTATTAATTATTAATTAATATACTTCAATCAATTATAATTAATCGAGCTAAAAACTCCTAAACAGATTTTACCACTTCAGAAATCCATTATATTTTTTATTTATGAAAAACCAATGAAATTTTATTGAATTATTTACTGCAACGATAAACTAATTTGTTAGATAAATAATTGCTTTGATTTTTAATATTGTTTCTCCGGAGAATAAAATATCTTGAATGGATTTGGCCGGAGAAAATGTTTTTCAGATGCAAGACAAATTTTTTTCTCAATGCGTTACAGTGATAAGTCGTAATTAATAATAATTAATTATCAGTAATTAATTTTATTTCAGATTCTCACTAAGGCGTACTCATTCATGGCGATACTGAAGAACTCAACTGATCAGTGATTATTATTACGCTGCATTTAATATTGTTCAACGAGAAATTACTGAAAATAATCTCTCATGATGTTTTACTGTAATTGAATTATTATATTCAAACTGAAACTTTCAGTTCACGTATACAGACAGAAATGACGTACACTTGATTTCATTCTGGAGGGGATTCAGTGAATAATGAAGAAGAACGGGGAATCCCAGACGTTGGACTGCATAATTCCAGTGTTGCACGATTTTTTTTTCTGTCACTTCACAGGGGATTCCCCCCTTTCTGATAGTCTTTTCCGATAATAAAAATTCCCCGCCACTCCCTTTAACGATAATGAGTGTTTATAAATAATTAATAGATTCTAGAATTCTCTGGGATCTCGAAGAAGCGAAATTGCATAAACAAATTGGAAAATAATTGATTTCATCTTAAAATTTGGAGTTTAAAATATTTCACATTTTAATTGAGAATATCTATTTTCATAAACATTGCATTTAAAAAAACAAATGTTTTTCATGTAATATGTTTATAGGTTTTTTTATAGATTTGATTTTTAAATGCAAATCTGCAAAAAGCTTTCGTCCGGGTTTTATTTATTCCGGCGTTCTGATAATAATTAATAATATCAGTTTCTTAGGGTGCGAGAAATACGACAAGGCAGACAGAAATTAACAGCTAGTGTGATGAAAAAAATAAATCTTTAGACAGGCGTATTGTGCCCTAGTGATTATCCGACTCAAAATGAAGACAAAGGAAAATCATTTTGTTTTTTTTTTTTGGAGATTTTCCGGTGAATTTTGACCGGAAGATTTAGTCCAGGGAATTTTTTTTTGGGGAATCTTGTCTAGAATATTTTTTCCCGGGTTAATATAACTCGACATCCGGCACTGCACGGGGGATTATATTCTAAAGAGGGTTATCCTCTTCAAGAGAACTTATTCCACCACAAATTGATGGTGAGGTATGATCTATGATCTATGAACAATCGGAGAACTATGAACGTCACTTGAAAGCGGAACATGCGACTCCGACATTACCATGCATTATCGAGTATGATTAGCCACTTTGGCTCAAGTAATTTCAGATTCAGGCAGCAGTTTACAATTGAAAAAGTCCCATGGGTGGAAGTCGTTTGTCAAAGCAACACTCACCGCAGAATAATAAATGACAAGTACAGAGTCAGTATTGTACAAGAGCTCGATCCGCCATGGGCCGTACAGAATCGCAAGTCGATAAGAAAAAAGTCTTCCCGATAGATAAGAGTTATTTATGCTTTACTCTCAATGTTTTGAGCTGTCTCGGTAATATATTTGTTATAAATAATCATGTTGTTAACTAAATGTATTGATGTTTCGGGTAAACGATTACGAGTATTAATTATTCTCGTGCTGTGAGTGCTGATGATCAAGATAATTTTTAAGTGATTGACTCCAACACTCGATTATTAATACTCACGGATTGATTAAATTGTAATGTACTGAGACAAATGATGATGATCCAGGTATATGGAACCCATCCATGGAGAAAGGGCGCAAGTACTGGCTCTATCAAGCTTACACAATGTACTATGTCATCGTCATAATGTTGCTGAGGATATTGACTATATTGGTTCGAGCAATCAATGCTTCAAATTCAACTGAATTCTCTCAGGAAATATCACTCTTGGCAGTCTTGATCTGTGATGCTATCAAAAGTTTCACTATTATAGTTCATCGACCTGAGTTATTAACCATTCTCGGTATATTCAACTGGGAGAGAAAAATCCTAGCAACTGACCAAATTAGTGAGTACATTACCGACAATTAAAATTCTCATGGCCTTGTTTGAGAGAATGCATAATGTCTCCGGGAAATTATTTAGAGTATTATAGGAACAGAGTGATAACGACAGCCATGCTGGCAACGAAGATATTCACAATCGCCGTTGCAATATTTCTCACCAATTACTTCCTGTTTTATTTCTACGTCATTTGGAAATATTCGGATTATGAGATAAAAAAGTTGCCGATAGGGTAATGTATGTTTCTGATTCAGTAGCCGAATGATAAGAACACTTCGATACGTATAATTATGATATTGACTTGATTCATCTTTATTTTCTCCATTATTTTTGTTTATCTTTTCAATTTATTTCACATCAAGAGAATATCAATCTGTCAATTGACAACTGTTTCACTTATTGAAATTCTGCATATTAATATTACTACGAGAACGAACGAAATTTAATTATAAAAATTGTGATTGAAAATTTGTTATTTAAATGAGTTCCAAATTCAAATTAGCCGCCTCAGACGACCCAACCAATGAGGAATAAGCGCGACATGCTTTCGAGATATCGATAGTCTCGAAATTTGTCCTTGTTAGAATAAGAATAGGAATTGGTGAACTATTTTTATTTCCGTTGAAATTATCATCGGTTGGTAATTTATCCTTTATTTTTGTGTGGATTATTATTTGTTTGATATTTCCATTTATTGTTGACAGACTATACCAAATAACTTGTTGATTTTGTTTTCTCTTCTAGTTCACCACCTCTGAAATATTGTTTCATCCTGACAAATTACTGGGTGGCCATCAGCATTGATTTTGTGATATTCACAGCCCTAGGATTGAGTGCAGTCTGTCATGATGCTTTCATAATGGGTGTGATGATACATGTGATGGGACAATTGAAGATTTTGAATTTTCGAGTGGAGAGAAGTTCCATGACGAGTCTGATCAAGACTAGTGATGATGAAGTTGAGGAGAATTCCAAGGTGATTCAGTTTGAGTGTGTCGAGAGAGAGAGTAATGAATCTGTCAGGCTTGACCCCAATGAAGAGCTTATCAACTGCATCAGACATCATCAACAAATTTTAAAGTAATTTGTCATCAAATTAAAGATATCAGTTAAACTGTCATTTCTTTTGGAATTTTTCTTTCAGGATATTGGAGATATTCAGGAAAGTTTACAACGTATTACTTCTACCTCAATTATCAGTTAGCTTGATACTGATCACCATTAGTGGATTGCAAATGATTCTGGTTGGTATTGATGAGCATTATCAGGACAAGAGCGCTTGTACTGCTCAGAGCAACTCCCACTTTCCCCTTTTCTATCTTAATTTGCGGATTGAAAAATGTTTTTAAGAAATTTTCGAGTACTGAAGTGGTTGTATTCCGAGAGGTGACGACCAATTCATGGTAGAATCTAGCGGATTAATTTTTATTAATTACAAATTAAAGAGAAATCATTGAACGCTTATAGAATGGTCGCAATGTAGCCTAACCTTTAATCCAACGTTTTAACCAACAAAATTGCTACAAAATTGAATAAAAATGTTGATAATCATTGACCAGCCATTTTAACTTGCGATATCATAAAGGTTAAAGATGGTGGGAACCTTGATGGGACACTAGTGGCTTTGGTCTTCTGCATAACAGCTGTCATCCAACTTTTCGCCTTCTGTTGGGGTGGCAACATCATCCTCGTCGAGAGCGACAAAACGAGCTTTGCAATTTATTCAGCCCAGTGGTACGATCGAGACATCGTATACAGGAATAATATTAAAATATTTCTGAGTCTCGTGAGGAATCCTCTGATTGTCAGTGCTGGTGGACTCTTCGACTTATCAGCGGTGACCTTCAAAAATGTATGGAATTTTTTTCATTAATTCACAACGTTCGTTCGAAATGATTTGATCTAATATGATTTGATCTGATTTGAATGATTGATCTGGTTTAACATTCTCACTTTCAGATTCTGACGAAGGCATATTCAGGAGTTGCTGTACTACAGAATGTGCAGGACTGATGATGCTGAATCAGAATTATATAGTCGCTTCTTAGGATAAACCATTATTTTCCATTTCGGAGTAATCGGATGAATATATTTTCACTTCTGAGTGCATATTGTATTGTTCTGCGCTATTAAATGATGAATGAATGTGGATGGAAGTAGTTAATAAATTTATTCCACTTGTTGTTGATTTTCAAATATTGTTTCAAGTAATGTGTTCACCGACGTCGAATTTTTCAACAGGCATCGATGAGCGGGAAGTCGCTAATAGAGCAGCCGCCTGTACCGACATGGTTTTTCCTGTGGTTTCCCATGTTGCTCATATGTTCTATAGGAGAGTGAATATGATACAGCTTAGGGCCCACGGCCGCAGGCATAGGCTGGGATAGGACGAATGAGCTAGAACAGGACGGAAAGGGCTGGAATAAAAATAAAAAAATGATGTGTTCCAGACTTGAATTGTGAGCGAATTGTGAGCGAACTGTGAGCGAACTGTGAGCAAATTGTGAGCGAATTGTGAGCAAATAGTGAGCGAATTGAGAGCGAATTGTGAGTGCTAACTCATAACTCAACTCAAGCTCATTTTCCGAAGTAACTTCACTCGAATAAATTCCCTTCTTGTTGGAAAACGTCAAACTACCAGCCCTCGATAGAATTTAGTATTTTTCCTCGCTAGCGAATACAACGATAAAAAAAATGACCTACGCAATGCATAACAGAGTACCGCCATTACCGTGAGTTATTTGAAATTCATGTTACCACTTCAACAATGCAACTTTGCAGTCGATAGTATCAAAGGGACGCAGAATAATAAATGATGGTTAGAGCTTCAGTACTGGAGAATACCTCGAGTAGTCATGAGTGCTTCTGGAAACGGCATCAGGACAAAGTCTGTCTTTCCATTAGAGAAGAGCTATTTATATTTCAATTTCAAGTGCATGACTTTATTGGGTAATACAATTAAAATTGAGCATTAAACTTTAACTGTAGAGCATTATAACAATCTAGGTCTGTGGAATCCGTATGAAAATGGCTTCAAGCATTGGCTTTATCTTATTTACACGATATGGATCTTGGGTGTGATTGTTATCATGAGAACAATAAGCACGTTCGTACGAACACTCACGGCTGATACTCTCATTGCATTTAATCGAGAAAGCTCCGTATTTGCTGCGGAAATTGCCCAGATTATCAAATGTACAGCTTTCTTACTTCATCGAGCTGAAATTTCGGAGTTGTCTAATCTATTCAATTGGGAAAGACGCGCGTTGAGTGGAGAAGAACTCAGTGAGAATTATTTAACAATTAGAAAAATTAACGCGTGTACTCACTCTTAATGGTGATGGATTACACTGAGAAAAAACATTTCTTTTACCAAATATATTTTCTTATGGTTAGTTAAGATTCTTGGCAGAAGACATTTTTTTTCTTAGTCTAAAAGTAAAATTATGTAACGCATTTTCTTCGAGGAAAGGATCACTTTTTGAAAATCATTCCGAATCGATTTTATCATGCAATAACAAAAAAAAGTAGAAAAAAGTAGATGAAAAAAACTTGTTGAAGATTTAATGCATGCAATGCAATTTTTTATATATATATATAAATATATATGGGTATGATATATGCATGACATTTACATATGTCAATATATTTATAAAAAAAATAGATCGGTAATTGATTTCGTCGCAGCACTTTTTTTTTTAAGGTCAAAATATTATTGCATTGAAGTTGCGGTGAAATTTCGTGTCAATTCGATTAATGAAAACGCGAAAATTTTATTTAACAAATGTCACGTGGATTTGAATGGTCCTCATAATTTCAATTGAACCCATCCAGGAAATTGGCGAGATGAAGTACTTTCGAACTCTTTGATTGTGTCGAAAACCTTTACGATAGTTATTATTATATCTGCAATCCAATATTTTGTATTTTATTTTTATTCTGCTTTCGTGCAATCTGATTATCAGGTGGAGAAACTGCCGATGGGGTAAAGTTAATAAAAAACTTAATTTACAATAGCTGCATTATAAAAATAATTTGCAATGGTTTTTACTTTCAGATCAGTACCGACGAAATACTTGATAGCATCGAGGGAATTCTGGTTTGTCTTCGTTGTTGATTATTTATTAGGTACTCTCCAGGGAATTATCGCTCTCTCTCAAGACGCCTTTCTGATGACTGTCATGATAAATATAGCGGCGCAATTGAAAATACTTAATTTTCGAGTTGAGCGGTGTCACGTGGCACATCCAGTTATAGAAATAAAATTTAATCATAAAAATTTACGGATTCACTTTGAAAGCATTCAGGATGATAACTCACCGCTGGTCGATCCAACGCAGAAACTCATTAATTGCATCAAATTTCATCAACAGATTTTAAAGTAATGCTTGAAATTATGGAATTTATGTACTAGAAATCCGAGGTGATGTAAGGAATGAATAAAAGGTGACAAAAATATGGCCATTATGTGACCGTCAATAAATCGGTCAGATAACATTTCATCAGTGACAAATTGTTTATATAGGTGCGACGTGACGGCCATTTTTTTTCGTCATAAAATTTTGTCATGTGATTGTCCATCAGTTCATTTTGTCAGTGAGAAGTTGATTCATTAGAACGAGAGATTTTTTCACATTTTGTTATAGATAAATAACTTTTTCCATAAAATTTTTATTTCGATAACATTTTTGTCAGGTGACAATAAATAGTCGGTAATTTGACGTGTCACTGACGATCATATGACCGTCATATAACATGTCACGAATTTTCCTCGCATCACTATGACGCATTTATTAAGAATGCACTCTGATCTGTGGATTTTATCTCCAGGATGTTAATTTTATTTAAAGTGATTTACAATAAGATACTTCTACCGCAAGTTCTGATAAGTCTGAGTATGATTGTACTTCAGTTGCAGTTGATAATGGTATTAAAAATAATTTTATAGGAGGGCTTGTTAATTTTTTATTTTAATGTTCTTATTTAATTTTATTTTATTTAATTTTAAGGGCAAACAAATGGATGGATCTGATGCACTTGTCGCATATCTTTTTTTGTTTGGAGTTATTGTGCAGCTGCTCGCTTATTGCTGGGGTGGTAATTTAATTCTTGTCGAGAGTGAGAAAACAAGTGATGCGATTTATGCATCGCACTGGTACAACCAGAATAAAATATTTCGGAATAATCTGAAGATATTTCTTACGGCTACTAAGAATCCACTTGTTGTCACTGCTGGTGATTTGATTGCATTGACAGCTGAGACGTTTAAAAATGTAAATAATTATTCAGAGAAATGTTTCCTGCGTCAGGATGAAATCGACAGAGCAATAACAAACTGATGCACAAATTTATCTATACGGAGAGAAAATCACAGAAAAATAGGTGATTGGTCTCGTAAATTTGGGTTTTCATGTAAAACGAGACCTACTGCGCATTCTGTGCGCCGGATTTGAATTTGGCGGGTCGAGTTGACCAATGGGGAATTAGGCCCACGAGTTTCGAGATACTTCGACTCGGGCGAACTTCATTTTTGTGCCGCTACTTTCTTAAATGTACGAGACTTACTGCGCACTCCGTGCGCCGAATTTGATTTTGGCGGTTCGAGTTGACCAATGAGGAATTAGTCATACGTGTTTCGAGATATTTCGACTCGGGCGAACTTCATTTTTGTCTTTCTACTTTCATAATAAGGAAATTTTTCCACCCGATCACTACTGTTTCCGATTTTCCTGTTCGCACCACGTTTACATTTCAAACAGTAATTTTTACGAAACTTCACACGTATTTTTTCCAGTATTTTTCTCTCCATGCAAGAATATCCAGAAGAAATGAACCAGGAAAAAATAACCAACGTACCCAAAACGTGTTAAAACTTGGTCTATTTTTTGTGGAGTCTATTTCTTCAGGCATTCCCGTGCAAGAAACAATTTTACCTCATATTCGTGTTTCGAAACTGACAGTGAATAATTATTTCCTCTGCAGATTCTCTCCAAAGGATATTCCGGTGCTGCTTTATTGAAAAATTTTGAATGAATTTAAAAGAAAATCGACTATGAAAGGCCCTGGAATAAAAAACAGTCTTCTAATGATGTTTAGAAACACATATGTCAATTAATCTGTACGACATTCTTCTGAGCAATTACATGATCACTAAATGTGAATAGAGGTGGCACATGAGTTCATTTAATTTATTACCAATCAATTATGACCAAAAGTTCTTTTCGGGTTAATTTTGCAATAATAATATTAGAGATATATTAGGTGATAATGGCAAACAACCAGGAGTTCTATTTTCTGATTCTATCAAAGCATATGATATTCTTCTAAACGATTATAATAAAAATGAATAAAAAATACTGATATGAATAATAATAAATTAATGAATACAAATAAATGTAAGGTATTATGTTGTTAATTTATTGCTGACCTGAATATTGAGACGGGGAGGAGATTGGAGAAGCTATTGCTGAAGATTTGGAGAATGAATGAAGAATTCGCTGAGTACCAGGTGATCATGGACTAATTAATAATAAAATAGATGCACTTCTAGTCATTGGCGGGAAGACAATTGGAACTTTCCACTCCATCACATCAGCACAAATGACGCTCTGAAGTGAAGTCCCTGCTGTATCGTGAATAATCCAGTATCATTACCCCCTGTCCACTGTAAAGTCATTTAAAATTCACAGAGGAATTTAAAACTGAAAAACTTGCATCGCTGGAACTTGTCGGAGGTAATGATACATACTACTCACCGCAGAATAATAAATGAAAGGTACGGAGTCAGTATTGCACAAGAGCTCGATCCGCCATGATCCGCCATGGTCGTACAGAATCGCAAGTTGATAAGAAAAAAGTCTTCCCGATAGATAAGAGTTATTTATACTTTACTCTCAATGTTTTGAGCTGTCTCGGTAATATATTTGTTATAAATAATCATGTTGTTAACTAAATGTATTGATGTTTCGGGTAAACGATTACGAGTATTAATTATTCTCGTGCTGTGAGTGCTGATGATCAAGATAATTTTTAAGTGATTGACTCCAACACTCGATTATTAATACTCACGGATTGATTAAATTGTAATGTACTGAGACAAATGATGATGATCCAGGTATATGGAACCCATCCATGGAGAAAGGGCGCAAGTACTGGCTCTATCAAGCTTACACAATGTACTATGTCATCGTCATAATGATGCTGAGGATATTAACAGTATTGGTGCGAGCACTCAATACAACGAATTCAACTGAATTCTCACAGGAGTTCTCGCTGCTAGTAGTCTTGATCTGTGATGCTGCCAAAGGTTTGACATTCGTATTTCATCGCTCTGATGTTCTGAAGATTCTTGATATATTTAATTGGGAGAGACACATTTTAGGAACCGAACAAATTAGTGAGTGATCTTTATGATTGAATAATGAGACCATTACTATCATTTATTAAAAATATATTTAGGACATTATAGAAACAAAGTGATAACAACTGCAATGCTGGCGTCAAAGATATTCACTATTGCCGTTGCAATTATTCTCACGCAGTACTTCGTATTTTACTTTTACGTTATTTGGAAATACTCGGATTATGACATCCATAACTTGCCAATAGGGTAATGTATACCTTTCCTGATTCAACTGTCAACCGACAAAATGACTGGAATAAATTGAAAAATTGGACATATTGTCTACTAGTTTACGTCTCCAATTAAATTAAATCAATTTCTCCTTTCAGTTCACCACCCCTGAAATATTGTTTCATCTTAACAAATTACTGGGTCGCCATCAGCATTGATTTCGTAATATTCACTTCATTAGGATTAAACGCAGTGTGTCATGACGCTTTCATCATGGGTGTCTTAATAAATCTGATGGGCCAGTTGAAGATCCTCAATTACCGTGTGGAGAGGAGCTCCATGACGACTCTGAGCAAGTGCTCCGACGAAGAAATTGAAGAGAACTCCAGAGTGACTCAGTTCGAATGTGCGGAGAGAAACAGCAGTGATGAGTCCACAATACTTGACCCTAATGAGGAGCTCATCAACTGCATCAGGCATCATCAGCAGATCTTGAAGTATTTGTTAAGCTGAAAATACAACTGATCACTCTAATTCGAATGATTTTATTCTCAGGATTTTGGACATATTCAAACATATTTACAACAAAGTACTCTTACCTCAACTATCCATCAGCTTATTGTTGATCATTGTTTGCGGGTTGCAGATGATTCTGGTGAGTGACCCTGAGCAACACTCATAAATTATTCAAATCTCTCTTCGATAATTTCTACTTGGCGATGTAGATCAAAGAAGGAGGAAGTCTTGATGGTACACTAGTCGCTCTAGGATTCATGCTATCAGCTGTTCTTCAACTCTTCGCTTTCTGCTGGGGCGGCAATATCATTCTCGTTGAGAGTGACAAAACCAGTTTCTCCATTTATTCGTCCCAGTGGTACAACCAAGACACCAAGTACAAAATGAATATCAAAATATTTCTCAGTCTTGTGAGGAATCCATTGGTGGTCAGTGCAGGTGGACTCTTTGACCTATCAGCTGTCACCTTCAAGAATGTACACTATTTTTATCTTCATCTGTTTTCCCAGGCACTTTGACACGTCTGATGAAACTTTTTCTTCACAGATTCTAGCCAAAGCTTATTCTGGAGTTGCAGTATTGCAGAACATGGAGGATTAGCACATCGGATTCAATCCGCCATAGTCAATTTTTAGATTTACTAATTCCTCGTTGATCTTGTTCGATCAATACGACAAGTGAATATTATGTTGCTCAATTGTATGATGGGATACTGTGAATAAATTCCGGGTATGGATTCGTGTGATCATGGTTTGAAGTTTTCTGATATCAAACTGGCTGTCAAATTTGTCTATCACTCAAATTCCAACACACTACAGCTAGATATTGACCCTCTGCTGCCAGATTCTGACTATACTCTATCTAGTTAAGTGTCTTCATTTCTAATTCATCGACTACTCATTCCGAATTCATGGAATATAATGCCATGAAAAAAAAACACGCGATATGGAATAATAAATGGTAGAGTTTTAGTTCAGCAAAACTGCTCGCCAAGTCATGACTACTACAGAAGCCGGCACGAAAAGAGAGCGTGTCTTCCCAATAAATAAAAGTTATTTATACTTCAACCTGAACTGCTTGACTGTTTTTGGTAGAAAAATTCATTCGTAATTTTTCCCCTGACAAAAACTGTATAATATTCACAAAGTTTCTTGTTTATGAGATAACAATTTAGTCTTCCACGAGTCGCCATTTGACTTCAACATATAGTACTGAATAAGACAGTAAAATATTTATAATCATTCAGGCATATGGAATCCATACAAGGAGGGACTAAAGTACTGGTTGTACCGAATTTACTCCACATACTTTGTCGGTGTAGTGATGATCACGAGAGTGCTGAGCCTAGCAGTCCAAGCAATGACTGCTGATAATGCGTCTCAGTTCCTCCAGGATTTTTCATTATTGGCCGTTGAAACTGCTGACACTCTCAAGGGAATTGCTTTTCTGATTCATCGAGTCGAAGTGCTGGAGTTGTCCAAGACGTTCAACTGGGAGAGACACCTGTCCTCGACAAGACAAATGAGTAAGTCAAAACGATTAAATCATTAAGATGAAAAAGGTAAATATCTAATCATGATCAATATTCCTCCAGCCCATTATCGAAACGAGGTACTGACGAATTCTTTGCATACGTCGAAGAAGTTCACTACGACCATCATCATCGCTCTGATCCAGTACTTCACATTGCACTTTTACAGGACTCTGTGCCAATCCGACCATAAAGTCGAGAATTTGCCCATCGGGTAATTATTAATTTCTCAAATTCTTCCCAGACTTCATGATAGTTCTCATTTCAGGTCTATACCATTGAGATATTTTTTCATACTGAGTAATTTCTGGGTGGCCTTCATATGTGATTACGTAACATTCACATCCCTTGGACTTGTCGCCGTTTGTCATGACTCCTTCATCATGTCAGTGATGATAAACATAACAGCCCAGCTGAGGCTTCTGAATTTTCGGCTAGAAAAATGTCACATGGCGACAATTACAATCAGAAGTGGAGATGCCAATGAGACGAGCTCGAGGATTCATTTCGAATGTGTTGAGAAGGAAATGAGTGGTGAATCTCTAGTTCTTGATCCGAATGAAGAACTCGTTAATTGCATCAAGTGTCATCAGCAAATTGTGAGGTATGACTGTAGAGTTTAACGTGTGAATCATGAAACTCTCGTGGTGATTTTATTTTCAGGATGGTGAACATCTTCAAACATATGTATAACAAAGTTCTTCTACCTCAGTTATTCAACAGCTTGTTACTGATCACTATATCCGGGTTACAAATGATTCTGGGTCAGCAGGGGAATCTCACCGATTCCCTCGTCGCCTGTGGCTTCTTGATTCCGGTAATACTCCAATTACTGGCATTCTGCTGGGGTGGTAATTTCATCCTTGTCGAGAGTGATAAAACAAGTTATTCACTTTACGCAGCGCACTGGTACAATAACGACAAGATATTTCAGAATAATCTGAAGATATTCCTCGGGGCTGTTAGAAATCCCCTGATAGTGAGTGCAGGTGGACTGGTGGATCTGACTGCTGAAACATTCAAAAACGTAAATGATCTCTTCATTTCTTCTTCATCTCGCGTTTTTTTTCATTGATTATTGTCCTTGATTACAGATTCTCACGAAAGCCTACTCGGGAGTTGCAGTGCTGAAGAATGTCAATGATTAATCAATAACGAAATACTAATTAGTCAACTCACCTCTGGTCTAACTGTATCATTTTAACAGGAAGATGATTGCTGAGTGCACGAGTCACGCATATTCTGGTCGTAACTGATAACTTGATATTATAAAGTGTTGTTCAATATAATGGATATTACAATATTCCAGAGCTCTACATAATTGATCCTATCCATAACTGAATAGTCATTTCACATTAATTAAATATTATATTCATTACACAGACATATAAAAATCGAGAATGCCTGAAATAGTTTAGAGAATCAGATATCGACATATGCTAATTTTCTATTGTGTTCATTTAATTATTGTTATTCATTGATTATTGCATTCGTTACCGTGGGATTTTCTAGTGAAGCGTTTGTATTCTGGAAATTTTATTACTCTATGCCTTCCAGGTAACGCCGATAGTTTGTTTTCCCTAGATGTTAATGATAACACGACTGTTTACAAATCCGTCGGTACGATCAGATTATTTGCTTTATGTTTTTGAAGTTTTAAATGCCATCAAATAATTTTTCAACGACAAGTTTAACCTACAACCTTTACAAGTTTTTAGGCAGAATCTGATAGTCTGGGGGAAGGTGTCATAAAAAATGTTTTTACAATTCATGAATAAAGGTATGGAGCCATCGATCTACCATCCACACTTTCCACCGAGTGACGGCCGCTCCTCCCTCCCAAACGAATCGTACGTTATAGTTATCCATAATTAACGTTCCTCATATCTTATGAATGGGTGAGTCATGAGAGATTCATGGATTCCACGAAAATAACGATTCCTCCATTATTTATTCCGGTGCACCGAGCCGGAATAGAGAATAATAGATGACAGCCAAGTGTCAGTACAAGCGAAGATCTCAGTAAGACATGAGCTCTAAAACGGAACTCGCACCCAAACAAAAAAATGTCTTTCCCCTCACCAAGAGCTATTTAGCTTTCAATTTCAAGTGGTTGACAATTCTAGGTAAGCGAATTAACCATCAGTGAATGAATTACAAACGATTATGATTATTCAGGCATATGGAATCCTTACAAAACGGGCCCAAAGTACTGGATTTATCAAAGCTATTGGGTATACGTAGTCGTTGTAGTGATGGCAGCAAGATTGTTTACTCTTCTGGTTCGGACAATAATCGCTGAAAATGCAGCGACCTTTCTGAATGAGTTCTCCCTCCTGGCTGTTGAACTTGTTGACACCCTCAAGTACATTGCCTTGGCGGTTCACGAGAAAGAGGTGGTTGAGTTGTCGGAGGCCTTCAACTGGGAGAGACAGCTGCCTGGTGCTGATCGATTCAGTAAGATTATTTTGTAGTTATCACCAGGACGATTGTAATTGTTGCTGCATTCGTCTAGAGTATTACCGGAACAAAGTGGTCACCCGAGCCTTGAGCAGCTCCAGGACCTTCACCATAGCCATCATGGTAGCTCTCGTTGAGTACTATCCGTTCTACTACTACTCCATCTTGACCCATTCTGACTACAAAGTGGAAAAGTTACCCGTTGGGTAATAAATCTTTGCCGAATTACCACAGGTATATGTCATCCATTCAATTGATGTATTTACAGAACTCCTCCATTGAAGTACTGCTTCATAACATCCAACTTCTGGGCGGCTTTCATCTTTGATTGGTTCACGTGCACTTGGCTCGGTCTTCTGGCTGTTGTTGAAGATGCCCTCATCATGGCAGTTCTCATTAATTTGACAGCCCAACTGGAAATCCTCAATTATCGGTTGGAAAGATGTCACTTGACAACTTACGTACTTCATGATGATAAAGACAATTATGATAAGTCACATACGTTCTTCGAACACTTCGACGGAACAATCGAAAATTCCTCCGATGACGCATTAGTTATCGATCCAAACGAAGAACTCATCAACTGCATTAAATTCCATCAACATATCAAAAGGTTAATCATTCATGTAGTTTTAAATAATTAGTTATAAATTAATCATGATAATTACTCAATTATTTGATATGCCTATGTCTTCTTCAGGATGTTGAAACTATTCGGGACTATTTTCGATAAAGCACTCCTACCCCAGCTGTTCACAAGTTTGTTATTAATTACTTTACTACTATTACAAATGATATTGGTCGGTATTCTCTTGTATTATTCCAAACCGTTCAATAACCTGGCTGCCGCCATCTTGCGTTTGTGTCCACTTGTACAAAATGGCGGGGCGAGGTTCTCGAGAGGGTTAAAAAATCACTGAAGCTTTATTTTGGTTATCATTTGGAGATCATTGTTTTGTTTTTTTTTCAAGGGTCAACAAGGAAATCTTTTGGACTCGATAATCGCGATGGCGTTTTTGTTCTGTGTGTTGCTTCAACTACTGGCATTCTGTTTCGGGGGTAATTTCATTCTCGTTGAGAGCGATAGATGTAGTCTTGCTGCGGGTTCATCACAATGGTACAATATGGACATCACATTCAGGAAGAATATGAAGATATTCCTTGGGGCTGTCAGGAATCCCATTATAGTCAGCGCTGGAGGCCTAGTTGACTTGTCAGCTGAAACATTCAAAAATGTTATTATATTTTATTGGGATTTTACTGTAATTTTACTGTTATCACTTCTCGATTATGTTAATGAATATTTTTTATTGCAGCTACTAACGAAGGCGTACTCGGGGTCAGCCGTGCTGCAGAACGTCAGCAGTTGAAGCACTTGGATTGAAATAATCATAGTCATTTTATAGCTATTCATTATTATATTCATTAAGTGGATCAGAATCCTCAGCTCATCTATCACACATACACGGAGAGAAATATTCAAGAAAAATTACGGAATATCTGAGAGGATTTTAGGTTAATTTGTATAGAAATGTAAGAGAAAAACGTGAAACGTTCGGTAAATTTTCGCATCTCCCACCAGAAGAGACAGAAAGAGTCTCAGTCTTTCTGTTAAACTGTTTAAACTTAACAACAATTTCACGAATCATTATGTTCAAAAATTCTTACGTAACATGTCGTTGATTTTGTGGGTTTTTGTCGGGTAATTCTTATCGGATTTTTCTCTCCGTGGATCTCGCATTTTACATGAGATGAAAATATTTGTATATCGCAGAATATTTTAAGAATTATGAGTGGTATAGATATGAATAAAAAATGATTTCATTCTTGATGGAATTCTCTACATGCTATAACCTAGATAACCAGACAAAAATCATGAATTTTGAAAACCGAAAGATGAATTTGGGGACACAGTGTAATTAGCATGTCCATAATTTATTATTTTAAAATATTTTAATTTCATATACACATGCCTCGCAGATGGTAATAAACCCTCTCCGAATGTAAATAATTCCAATCCATCTGAAAATAATTTTTTCGCACTGCTATGGGCCGATCTAGGATTTTGGGGAAAGTGATTTTTGACGAAAGTGATTTTTTTTCAAAAATTACTTTCTTTTTACCAACAAGCGATTGATTTCATACACAATCACCTCATACATAATATTAACACTCTCAGAGGCGCGAAAAATCCGCAAAATTAATGTTTTTTTTCACCCCGCCCTAGGGGGCGATCTATGATTTTTGGGGTAGGAAAGTGACTTTTTTGGAAACTGGACTTTCTGCATCCACAAACGATTGATTTCACATGTATTCATCTCCTAGATGACAATAAACCCCCCGTAAATACAAATAAACCTAAAGAAATCTCATCCAGGGTTTGGCAATGCCAAAAATCCCGGTGAACACCTGACGAGATTTTCAATTGAAACTTTATAATCCTGACAATTGTCCACCACCGATATCTCTACAGCGACCGAATCATCGATACTCAATACTTCAACTGAAAAGCCCTCCCCATGCATAATGGAGTATGCGCGTACCTCAGTTGAATAGTCATATTGAATAAATGACTGAAGTTGAAAAAAAACTTTTTCCCTCTAAAGCTCATTTAATATTATCGAAGAGACACGCAACGCGGAATAATAAATGACAGCTGCGAGTCCAGTACTATCAAGTATTCCAAGAAGACATGAGTACTGTAAAATCCAACATGAGAGAGAGAGTCTTCCCAATAGACAAGAGCTACTTGTACTTCAATCTGAACGTTTTGTCTGTAATGGGTAAGATATGATTTTCTTAAAATCCAATCACGAGACACCAGTTGATATTCCATGATTCAGGTATATGGAACCCATGGGAGGAGGGATATAAGTACTGGGTGTACAAAATCTACGAATGGTACGTGATTATCGTAATTATGGCAATGAGACTTACCGCTATACTAGTCAGAGGGATCAGCGCTGAAGATACAACTCAACTCTTACAAGAATTTTCATTGCTGGCGGTGGAGGCTGCTGATACCATCAAGTACATCGCTTATATATTTCACCGAGAGGAGGTGCTGGAGCTATGCAGTGCCTTCAATTGGGACAGACACTTGCTGGGAACAGAAGAGATCAGTAAGAGCCCCTAGAAATCAACAGACATTAATTAACTAATCAACTACATCTGAACGAATCATTACCTTTTCAGCCCAGTTTCGGAATAAAGTGCTAACACACTCCTTGAGTTCATCGAAAACATTCACAATTGCTATCGTCGTAGCTGTGATCCTGTATTACTGCTTCTATTACTACGCAGCTCTTGGTTACTCCGAGTATCAACTTGATAAACTGCCCATAAGGTACCCAGTTGATTATTCGTGATGTACGATATTTTTGCTGACACCATTTTAACGGAGTTCTTGTGTTCCAGAACGGTTCCCTTGAAATATTGTTTCATTCTCACCAATTTCTGGGTAGCTTTCATCTGCGATTACATAACATTCACTTGGCTTGGACTGATAGCTGTTACTCATGACGCTTTTATCATGGCACTGATGATAAACATAACATCGCAACTGGAAATTCTTAATTTTCGATTGGAGAAGTGTCACAGAGAAATATTTGAAATCTCCAACGACAAGATTCCTCAAGTACCAAATTTGATTCATTTCGAATGCGTCGAGCGTGAGATGAATGGAAAGTCTGTAACACTCGATCCAAATGCAGAGCTCATCAATTGTATCAAATTTCATCAGCACATCATCAAGTATCTCCTGTTGATTCACTTTAATGGAATTCATCATCTGGTTTTGTCAATTTAATATTAATTTTCTCGATAGGATGCTCAACATGTTCAGAGCAATATACGACAAAGCCCTTTTACCTCAACTGCTCATAAGTTTGCTGCTAGTCTCCATGTCTGCATTCCAGATGATTTTGGTCCGCATCATTTCCCAGCTCCACTAGATCATCATGAATGATCATTATGATGGAGTCTATTTTTCAGGGGCAACAAGGGGATCAGTCAACAAGCGATTCAGTCGGTGCTCTGGTATTTCTGATTGCCTGCATACTCCAACTCCTGGCATTCTGCTGGGGTGGTAACATCATCCTAGTTGAGAGTGAGAAAACAAGTGATTCGCTCTACGCGTCCCACTGGTACTATCGAAACACAACGTTCCGTAATAACGTCAAGATATTCCTGGGGGCCATCAAGAATCCTCTGATTGTCAGCGCTGGAGGTCTAGTTGATCTATCAGCTGAAACATTCAAAAATGTATTCAATCTACCGATTGCTTTGTCCTTTCCCGATTTTTCAAAAATATTGCTCATTCCAGATCCTGACCAAAGGCTATTCAGCATCAACAGTCCTCAAGAATACAGCTTAATGAATTCGAACAATCGCTTAAGATCGGAATAACTTAGTCGTCTAGTTATCATCTTGTAGCATCATAATGTCTGACAGTCTTGTCAAGAACTTCAACATGTCATCCATCCCTCACTGTAGTTTATATTTTGAAAATATCACTTATAAATGAATTATCCAATGAAATTCCAATTGATCATATTCATTTAACTGGAATTACCTGCACTGCACACCTGACAGCTTTGCACTGATCTTAGTAACTGTCTCAGAATACTGTAGCATCTGCTGTTTGAATTAGTAATCATCACCATGCATCATTGAGTATTCACATTCTTTATTCATATGAATGATATAGTTTGCGGAGTAGATGAAGAATGGATGGACACTAGGAAGGTAACAGGATATCGTTGAAGAGCCACGCAATGCAGAATAATAAATTGCTGAATGTCACAGTATTCTGGAACATCTTACCTGCGTCAGTCGACATTCTATATGGCAAAGAATAAATTTTTCCCGATAAACAAGAGCTATTTACACTTCAATTTAGAGTGTATGAGAGTCTTCGGTAATTATGATTACACTATTTTGCCGATACTGGCAACGTTTTTAAGATGATTCAGCGAAATAATGTTAGAATAGCTCAAACCATAAATGAAATCGTTCTTCATGATGGATTTATCGTTAATGCTTCGTGATCACGCGGTTGTGAGTGTTTGAGCGCCGCTTCGCTCATGGAGCGACTCACGGAGGATTAATGAAACTACTGCCAGATATTCATTACATAAAAATAAATAAATTCAATGAATGTAATAGGTATGTGGAATCCATATGAACGAGGACCCAAGTACTGGTTCTATCAAGTTTATTCAGTATACGTTGTCAACGTAATAATCGTACTGAGACTGATGAACGTTTTCATGCGAGGAATAAATGCCAAGAACTTCAACGAATTTCTCGAGGAATTCTCCTTGTTGACTGTGGGAACAGCTGATATGATTATGTCCATCACTTTTTTATTACACCGAGTTGAAGTGTTGGACTTGGCTGATGCGTTTAATTGGGAGAGAAATTTGTTAGGGACTGACGAAATTAGTGAGGATTTTTCATTTTAATTTTAGGCCAAGATTCTTTCAGATTCTCATTTCTCTTTCAGCCCAACATCGGGACAGAGTGCTCACGAGCTCAATCAGCTCATGCAAAGTCTTCACCTTAGCCATCATGATCACATCAGTTCAATACTGCACATTTTCATTTTACAATATCTTCAATGAGGTCGATTACCACAAGGAGATGCTGCCGATAGGGTAATGTACACTTTTCAATAATTATTATTATTTAAGCTCTCTTATTTTTACAGAATTGCACCGATGAAGTACTGCTTTGTTCTCCCAAATTTTTGGATTGCTTTCATGAGCGACTACTTGTCATTAGTTCTCCTCAGCTTGGTTGGCGTCTCTCATGACTCATTCATCATGGCTGTGATGATAAATATCAAGTCACAATTGAAAATACTCAATTTTCGATTAGAACGATGTCACATGACCTGTTACAATCCCCATGATGTCGTTCGATTTGATGATTCATCAGTCACTCATTTCGAGTGCGTTGAGAGACCTATCACTAATAAGTCCATGTCCCTCGATCCGAATGAAGAACTCATCAATTGCATCAAACTTCATCAAGAAATTGTGAGGTAATTCTGGAATATCAGTGATTTATGATTCCAAATAAATCTTGTATGAGTTGTCTGATCTCGAAGATGATCTTGCTCTGTTGATTCTAGCAAAGAGAAATAATTCATTTTTTGTTAATTCTTCTAGGATATTACGAATATTCACAAAAATTTATAGCAAAGCATTTCTACCTCAGTTGTTCATCAGTTTGTTATTAATCACCGTACTTCTGTTACAGATGATTTTGGTCAGTCATTTGATACTATTCTCCATTGAAAGAATCATGTCCTATCATGACGTCATCAAATCCATCAGTTAAATGACGATAATCATTCCTCGATCAGGCTTACCAATGACTTTATCAAGTTCCTCCACACAACTGTCCAAACAAAGCCTGATTGGGGTCTGACGAGCGTCGGATCGGTCCAATGACATTTCTAATTAGAATATTTTCTTTTTCAAGGGAAAGGAAGGCAATCAGACTGATGCCCTAAGTGCACTAGGATTCTTCATTCCAGTTATACTGCAATTGCTGGCATTCTGCTGGGGTGGAAATATCTTTATTGTCGAGAGCGATAAGTCAAGCAATTCACTGTACGAAACCCATTGGTACGACAGGGATCGAGAATTTAGGAATAACCTGAGGATATTCCTAGGGGCTGTCAGGAAACCCTTGACTGTCAGCGCCGGTGGTTTCTGCGACTTGTCAGCTATCACTTTCAAAAATGTATACAACAATAATTCACTCATTGTTTCATTGAAATTATTTTTAATCAGTTGCTCTGATTTATATTAAAATTATCACACAAAAATCGATACAATTCATTAAATAATAACTATTGCGCCATTGAAGGAAATATAATATAAAATAATCGTTGTGAAACAAATTATTCATTGATCAGGAGAAATAATTCGCGTGTGAAATGCAACTTGCCGATTGTTTGTATTAACAATAAATATTTGTAATTACAGATTCTCACTAAAGCTTACTCAGGAGTGGCGGTTCTGAACAATGCGAATGGATGAAATTCTATATTTCGTTTTCAGTAGTTAGACTGTCTTCTACAGTTGATGCGATCAACAGAGTCATGTGTAGTTTCAATAGATTTTTACTGTTTAGAATTTTTAAACTAATAAAGACAATCATAAAATTACTGTTTATCGATAAACCAAGAGCTGAGCATTTGAATTAATCCACCAACCCTATCCATTCATTGTCTCTATACACCTAGAGTTAATCTCAATCGATTTTTCTCTGTCATTGATAGCACTAGACTGATGTCACATGCATCTTGGCGAGTTGCAGGGACCCTCAGCTGTATGCATTAATAAAGATTTAATGCTTTATGAAACGCTTACATGTTTTAGTCACAAAAATAATATATGGGGTTCATAGGATAATTACAGGAATAAACTCTATAGCAGTGATGTTACAAAGAGATCAAACCATGCAATACAGAATAATAAACTGCAAACAGAAATTTGGACTCAATGTTCTTCAACATTCGAACTTCATCACTCATTCTAACATTCGGCATGGCGAGGAAGATTTTTTTTCCGATTGATAAAAGCTATCTTCACTTTAACTTGCAGTGTTTGAGTGTTCTCGGTAATCATGGATTTAAATTTTCAGTTAGAGAAATGCAATTGAGCAAGATAATACCAGAATAATTAAAATCAGATATAATTTTTTTTTTGGAATAAATTAATTATCGAGTTGGTGATTCAAAATTCACAGAATCATTCTAAATTGTTTTGATATGTCTGTTTATAATTAATCAGGCTTATGGAACCCATACAAAAGAGGAGCGAAGTTCTGGCTGTACCAGATATACTGGGCCTACGTTGTTAATGTCATAATGGCAATGAGACTGATCAACATAATTGTCTTATTGATAAATGCTCCGAATTCCACTCTATTCCTCCAACAATTCTCACTGCTGACTGTGGAAAGTGCTAATATAATAATGTACATTGCTTTCTTCTTTCATCGAACTGAAGTCTGGGAATTAGCTGATGCCTTCAACTGGGAGAGACACTTACCAGGCACTGAAGAGATAAGTATGGATTCAGAATGAAGATGCTCCAATATGCTCACGTCAAGATACTCACCAGCAAGAGGTTCCTAAAAGAATAATTTACCCAAATAATTTTTTCAGCGCAATACCGAGACACTGTCCTGACAAACTTGTTGAGTTCCTCCAAGACCTTCACTGTGAGCATCGGATCTGCTGTTATTCCATATTTTATATTCTCGTATTATGCCATTTTCGAGATAGCTGAGTACAAACTGGAAAGATTGCCAATAGGGTAAGAGATTCAGTCTCTGAATCTATCCTGAACTCAACACATCATTTTCATTTTCCTCAGGGTTGCACCAATGAAATACTCACTGGTATCCTACAACTTCTGGGTTGCTTTTATCTGCGATTACTGGACATTCACTCAGCTGGCCTTGACAGCTGTCATTCAGAATGCCTTCATCATGGCTGTCATGATGAATGTCAAGGCACAGCTCAAGATTCTTAGTTTTCGCTTGCAAAGGTGTCACATCAGAAATTATGAGATTAATAATGGTGCCACTGATGAACATCCAGGTGTTATTCATTTTGAATGTGTCGAAAGACAAATTGATGAAAAATCAAGATCACTTGATCCAAATAAAGAACTCATCAATTGCATAAAATTTCACCAGGAAATCGTGAGGTAATTCCTAGTCACATCGCTCAGACTCGGATTGCCTATGTGAATCAATCTTAATTCTTTTTATTCCAGAATTTTCCGGATATTCAAAGAAATTTATAACCAAGCACTTCTGCCCCAGCTGTTCATCATGTTGTTACTCATCACCGTTCTCCTATTACAAATGGTTTTGGTCAGTGATTTGATAAGATATTTACAAAGAGATTATTCACTCCTCGTTATTTTAATCCCCTATCATGACATTCCAATCGTATTAATCAAATTGTCTACGGAAAATCGATAATTTAAAGTATAGAACTCACTGATATAAAATGATCTCGAGGATCTTCGTGAAAAATTTGTAATGATTTCGAATAAAAAATCATTTAACTTTACCAAAATGCAAGTGTTTGGCAACAAAATTTCCATTCAAGACGTTTCATTTAAGGGCAAGGAAGGTAATCATGCTGATGCCATAGTTGCATTAGAATTCTTGATCCCAGTCATGCTCCAATTACTGACACTGTGTTGGGGTGGAAATATCTCTCTCGTGGAGAGCGACAAGTTGAGTAATTCCCTGTATGAAGCCCGTTGGTATGATGTGGACCGAGAATTTCGCAGCAATGTGAAGATATTCCTGGGTGCTGTGAAGGATCCACTGATAATTCGTGCTGGTGGCATTTGTGATTTGACAGCTGTTACCTTCAAAAATGTATTACGTCGTTATAAAATTCCACATTTACAATATTTAATCTATTTTCTGTTTCAGATTCTCAGTAAAGCTTATTCAGGAGTGGCAGTACTGAATAATATGAGCCAATGAGGAATTATGATGCTTCACCATTCGATAACAATCTAAGTAGTTGTAATTAGGACATTTCAATAAACTCTCATTACAATCAAAAATCTTTATAGAGAGATAAATTGAATTGAACCTATTCACTCAGAAATAGAGATGTCAATAAATCGCTGAGATAAAATTTGTTCATTAACAAATTGTCGATATAGATATGATGTAGGTAATTTTTTCAGTATCACAAAATTTTGTCATGTTTTGTTGAGTTTCGTCATGGGATTCATCAGTTGATTTTGTCAGTGAGAATTTGATTCAATAGAATGAGTGATTTTTTATATTTTGTTATGAATAAATTCCTTTTTCCATAAAGTTTAACACGCCACTACTTAGATGCGATATGACTGCCATAAGGTAAGTCGATGACATTTTTTTGATGTTGATTTTTTTTTGTCACAATAATTGGTCAATCGTGGATGGTTAATGTGACGTGTCACTGACGACTACATGACCGTCATCTGACATCACGAATTCAGCTCGCATCACAACTTACAAGTTCTGTTCATTTTGTTCCAGGTGAATCGATCAACTGAAAGCTTTTTGACGTCAACTTTCTCCCATAGTATTGTAGAAGCCTTGGCTACATGCATTAATAAACATTATCATGCATTACCAACCATCTTCATTCTTTATTCACAAGAATTATACATCTTATTCATAGGGTAATTGCAGTCGCAATTATGGGACGTAGCATGACAAAATTCGATCGGTCGCAGTATTCTGCAACATCTTGACAATCAATGGTTGCCCCAAAAATCGTAATGAAAAGAAAAAATGGGTTCCCAATAGAGAAGAGTTATTTGCACTTCAATTTCCGGTGTTTGACCTGGCTAGGTACATGAATTGTCACAAATTATATACATAAACAAAATTGATACTCATCAGAAATGATTCAGGTATCTGGAACCCGTACGAAAAAGGAATCAAGTACTGGCTTTACCAAATCTTTTGGGCATACGTTGTGATTGTGGTGATGGCACTGAGACTGATGAATATTCTTGTGCGGGGAGTCAATGCAGATAATTCAGCGCAATTTCTTCAAGAGTTTGCACTGTTGGCTGTTGAAACAGCTGATACAATCAAGTACATCGCTTTTCTATTCCATCGAGACCAAGTGCTGGAGCTGTCTGATGCGTTTAATTGGGAAAGACATTTGCCAGGGACTGACGAAATTAGTGAGCAATTAGTTGTCTTCTGGATATTCCAAACAACGACAAATTATTGCCACTGATTTTTATTTTTTCTATTTTTTCAGGGCAATACCGAAACAGAGTGCTCACCAGATCATTGAGGTCCTCCAAGACATTCACCATCATCATCATCATCACTCTCCTGCAATACTTCACGTTTTCCTTCTACTCTGCCTTTTGTGAGGCTGATTACAAGGTTGAAAAGCTGCCCATAGGGTAATCCAGACTTCTTGCAATGATTGTAGTGATTAAGAAATGGATTTTATTTCGGTTTTTATTTTTTGTAAGGGTTCCACCCATGAAGTACTGTTTCATTTTGAAGAATTTCTGGTTTGCATTCGTCTGCGACTACATATCATTCACACAACTCGGTCTGATTGCCGTTGCTCATGACGCATTTATCATGGCTGTGATGATAAACGTCAAAGCACAGCTGAAGATCCTCAATTTTCGGATGGAGCGCTGTCACCTGGTAGTTCATGAAGACCCCAAAGATGACGAAGAATCAGACATCATTGATTTCGAATGCGATGTCAAAAGGAACAGCAAGGAATGCATGTCGAATCCGAATGAAGAACTCATCGATTGCATCAAGTTTCACCAACAAATTGTCAGGTAAGTTAAATATTTCTTCTGTATTAAACACCGAGAGAAGTCAACGCCCTCGAGAAATTCACTTTCAGGACATTGGGAATATTCAAAAAAATTTACAACAAAGCCCTTTTGCCTCAGCTGACCATCAGCTTACTGCTAATTACTGTGCTTCTACTGCAGATGATTCTGGTGAGTCGTTAAAGTTAATTACCTGTATATTTGTTTGATGATCTTCATTTGCGATTTGATTTCAAGGGCAGGGAAGGAAATAGTGCTGATGCTGTAGTTGCAGTGGGATTTTTAATCCCAGTTTTGCTCCAATTGCTGACATTTTGTTGGGGTGGCAATATGATTCTGGTGGAGAGCGATAAATCAAGCAATTCTTTGTACATGTCTCATTGGTATGAAGGAAACAGAACCTTCAGGAATAATGTGAAAATATTTATTGGTGCTATTAGGAAACCGCTGATAGTCAGTGCTGGTGGTCTCTGCGATTTATCAGCTGTTACTTTCAAAAATGTATAGATTCCGAGAATCATTTCTTTCAGCCGTTTGTTATGGATTTTTTTTGTCGTTATTATCACGATTTTTTCATTCCAGATTCTCAGTAAAGCATATTCCGGAGTAGCTGTTCTACAAAATATGAATGAATAAGCAGTGCATCTGGTTTCGAGTAGTTTCAATAGTCTTCTGCAATAAATTCTGCTTCATAGTTCCATAAGAATAATTTATAGTTATAAGTGGAAATATCTTGAAATGTAGCTTCAGTAGTTTTGTACAGAATGGAATTTCTGAATAAATAGTAATTATAGTTTAAGATCTTTGATGGAGATCTTGATTAGGACAGGTGCGCAGGGAGCAAATGACGGGATAAATAACCACAAGAAATGTAATTACAAGATAATTAAATAGAGAAATTACCAATGGAAATTGAGAGTTGACACGAAAAAGGAGTTTCTCCAAATATTTATGATTTCTCTCAGAATGAGAGAAAGAGATGATTTTCTTGGAGTATTTTTGGTTCTTCTTGTATGAAACATAATGCACATCTAATCCAAACGACAACTGAACAAAAACTGAAATCCAGTGATAGGTCATTCGAAATAATATGCAACGCCAAAGAAATGGTATGTCCACTATAAAAAATTCATATGCATTATGCATGAGCCTCGTGTTTACCAACTTAAATGGTCATATTCTATTCATGACTTGCAATGCAGAATAATAAATTGGGAATTTTGCCTCAGTATTTCAGAGCATATCGAGTCCGCATGATTCCTCCAAAAGTTGATATGCAAAAGAATTGCTATCCCCTAAACAAGAGTTACTTGCACTTTAATTTACGGTGCTTGACCTGGTTTGGTAGATAAATTTCAAACAATCCAGGATATAATAAATAAATAAACAATCCCTGCAAACCCAAGAGAAATAATTCAATCCAGACATGCGATATGTTTTTTCAAATCCCATAGAGCCATTTAATTCTATCTTCAAACGAATTTCTATGGCATGATGAATTGAATCATTTCTCATTTTGTTTTTTAGATATAATTCCAGTGTTTTTAATAATTTAGGGATATGGAATCCATACGAGAGGGAAGATGGCAAGAAATACTGGTTGTATCAAGTTTATTGGGTATTCGCAGTGAATATAATAATGGCGATGAGAGTGGGAAACATTTTTATGGAGCAAGTACATGTTGAGAATTCCGCCGAATTTCTCGATGCATTCTCGCACTTGGGTGTGATAATAGCTGATGTAATAACGTATCTTGCATTTTTCTTTCATCGAGTGGAAGTGTGGGACTTGGCTGAGGCATTCAATTGGGAGAGACATTTGCCAGGGACTCACGAAATATGTGAGTTGCTAATCAGATTGTTGATATACTATCAGTTAATCTCAATATATTATTATTATTTATTATTATTCATCAGCACGATATCGAAATACAGTGGTGACTAGTTCCATGAATTCGTCCAAGCTGTTTGCTATCGTAATATTTATCAGTCCCATCCAGTATTTCACGTTGGCGTACTACTCAATTTTTTATGAGGCCGATTATAACATTGATAATTTGCCCATCGGGTAATGAGCAATTGTTCTTCTCTACTAGATGCCTGGAATGGATTTTATTTTTATTTTTAATAATAGGATTGCACCGATGAAGTATTCCTTGATATCCAAGAATTTTTGGTTTGCTTTCTTTTGGGATTACTTATCGTTCACCCACTTAGGATTAATTACCGTCGGTCAGAATGCCTTCATTATGGCAATTATGATCAATATTAAAGCGCAATTGAAGATGCTTAATTACCGGATGGAACGGTGTCACTTGACGACTTATGAAATGGATAATTCTGGAGATTATGATGACTCAGATGTCATTCATTTCGAATGCATTGAGAGACCACTCACTGATAAATCTGTATCACTCAATCCAAATGAGGAACTCATCAATTGCATCAGATTGCATCAACAAATTCTCTGGTAATTTATTAAACAAATTATGTTACTTGCACTTGAATATTTTATTAACAGAAGAAAAACCGATTTTTAAGATTGTATCCAATTGTTTTTATAATTTTTTGTGTATGTTCCGTCAGGATTAATTATTTTTCCTTCCAGGATATTGGAAACCTTTAAGACAATTTATAATAAAGCCCTTTTACCTCAGCTGGGCATCAATTTGTTAATAATAACAGTAATTTTACTACGAATCGCTCTGGTATGTCATTTAATTTCATCAGCCATACAAATACTCATTCTGATTCGATTATTTTATTTCAGGGTAGAAGAAATAATAGTGGTGATGCGGTAATTGCTATCGGTTATCTACTGCCAGTTGTGCTTCAATTTTTCACGTACTGTTGGGGTGGTAATATTATTTTAGTCGAAAGCGACAAGTCGACTAATTCGCTGTACGCATCTCACTGGTACAACTGCGACAAAGAATTCCGGGAGAATGTTAAAATATTTTTTGATGTTATCAGAAATCCACTGATAATCAAAGTTGGTGGTCTCTATGATTTGTCAGCCCTTACTTTCAAAAATGTATTAAATCATTCACCAATTTTCTCCGTCATTTTTATTTATTATTCACACTAACCCTGAGCTTTCATTCCAGGTCATCACCAAAGCTTATTCCGGAGTGGCAGTCCTACAAAATATGAGTGAATGAGCATGTAGTCTAATTACTAAATCTCGTTAAACAATGCAATCAATTTTTCCCCATCAAATGTACTAGTTCACCTTTGAAATAATATAAAAATAAATTAATGAAGAAGTGAAATTATAATTTTCTTGTAAAACCGGCAGTAATGATTCGTTCAATTATACTCTAGTTAATTAGATTCAGTGATTATTCATTAATCCAGTGTTGAATTCTCAAGATTTTGGTGATTTAAATGATCTCCCAGGGCAGACGATGGCCTTCATCCCTGACCCAGTGATACATTCAGGTTTTTCGCCTCCTGCAATCGATGAAGCGTAAAGACACCTGGGGCCGATGACCCTGTCCCCATAAAATTGGAAGGGCAAAACCATCCCCTCGATCAAGACGCCAAACGCCGATGATCGGCGCCAGAATTTTCCTCGCTAGACATTTCTTCATGAATAATAAAAAAATCCCCAGGAAATGGAAGATGTTTTCCCTTGTGCGTGTGGATGTTGTCCCCTCGGTTGACAAGTTTTTCTCAGTTGAAGAACTTTTATTCTTCGGGGGGAGCGTAATAACAGGGAGCGATTGATCGCGAATATTTTATGACATTTGGAGATTCTGGGGGGTCAGCGCGTTGGGAGTGAATGTGCGATGGACAGTCATCATTCAACTGCCACTGGGAATTGTTTCTTACCGACTTTGACTGCTGCTTGGCATGATGACAGTTCACTGGAGAAGACATCGCTACCAATTCCTTTTGGATTTTGTCATTGGAGTTTAAGACGAATAAAAATCATTTTCATTGAGCTGTGTATATGAAATCCTCTTTGATGCATTTGCTTCATTGATTAATTGATTCATTAATCGATGATTTATTGAATCAGCAAAAGGGAATATTTGATATTTGTGAAATAATCCTGTTGATAAATTACGAAAAGTCAAAGTGAAGTGCAACATTTCTGTGATAATATCTCAATTAATTGTACAAACAACTACATGATTATAATTATTTTACGTTTTTATTTTTTCACAGAGGATTGAGTTTTTATGTTGATCTCTACCTGTGATGACTCAATCCTTCGACTCCAGAGGAGCTAGAGGGAAAATCCTGTCAAAGGCTTCCATCCTCGCGCCATTGACGTCCCTCTTCATCGTGAGTGTATTATTTATTTCTAGGTATTTTTTGTTTTCAGGTGTGAATCCGTCCCACGTGATCCCTTTGAATAATGGATTGTCCCGTGGAATGGGATTCCCCGTTTTCGCAAAACTCGCCCACATGGCGGTCAGGTGCTCAACCGTGGGAATTTCTGGGGCGTCACTTTCCAAGAAAGGGAAGAAGACCTTCATGAAGAAGAGGTACATGAGCTCGTCGTGATGACCAACACCTGTAGAAAAAATAAATACTTCAATGTTCTCTTCCCATAATGAGGACTCATTTGGGACTCTTTAAGCAGAGAAGAGCTCTCCCTCGTAGAATATTCTTTTCAATTTCATTATTCATTCTCACCCATAGGCTTCCTAGTGTCTGGCCAAACGTAATAGCTCTTTCGTCCTTGGTACACAAAATGGTAGTAATAAACCGGTTGATCCGAGTTCGCAGCAACGAGATTCACCATCCGATGCACTGGGAATTTCACAATCGAGTCAGCATACAACTGGATCGAAGAAAAGTATTATCTTTATGTCTCCATTAAAAAAAGAGGGTAACGGTTTTTGTCGCCGATTTATTTCTACTATATAGGGCCGATCATTATTATGTGCATTCACATGTTGATAACGCAAAGTCGCGGGTTCGATTCCTTCTAGAGTCATTATCAAAAAATGAAATCGCTATATTTAAGAAATAATACATAGGCACTATAGATAGGTATGTATAGTGCCTGGGAGTCACTAGGTTATTGTGTATATATATAATAAATATATTATACTTATTTATATATTTATATATTTATATATGAATTTCATTTGAAAAAAATGACTCCACAAGGGATTGCAAAAATTCACGTGTAACTCACCTGTCCCAATTTTTCCCAATTACCCAGGCCGATTTTCTCTCCCTTGAAGTAAAAATCCCTCAACTGTCTGCTGATCTCTTTGGACTTTGTAGTATTCCTCTCGTAACTGAAGATGATTGGAGCGATGTGGTCCCAGTTTTCATTTAGATCATCGAATATAGAATTGTTGCCTTTCCTCGCTTCAACAACTGGTACTGGGAACCCAATAAAAATAATTACCACCGGTTAAAATCGAAGATCGAAATTCCACTGACCATGAAAAATATCTAAGAACGTGTAACGAACATGTTTTATATATCTTCTTCGTGTATTCGGTTGTTTATAATATTTTAAATAGTTTAGAATATTGAGAGGTTGGAGGCAGTGGTAATACTAGTGTTTAACTCAATATTTTGATATTACTGACGAATTCATCACTCACATCTAGCTAGACTAGCGAATTCATCCCTGGTGGTTCCAGCCATGAAGGGCACTTTGTGGAATTTCCCCTGTCTGATTAATTCATCGGGCTGTCCCACGATGAACCTCTCAACTCCAGGAATATCAGGTTCGACCACTGGACCCCAGACGCGAATGGGACTGTCATGCCATTCCATGAATTCCCCAAAAGTCGAGACCATTTTCTCATGCGGGACATTCTCCATGCACGATAGCATTCTCTTCGTGGTGTCATTGGGACAGCCAACCAGGGTCGCCTGTTTCTTAGCTATTTCTATCTGCTCGTGAGGCATGGGCGCTGGTTTGGTTGGTGCACCACTCATGGACACCACACGGTGAAAAAGACCTTTGGACATTGGTGATAGCATGTGGAGGGCTGTGCTCCAGGCACCGGCGCTGTACCCAACGATTGTCACTGAGTTTGGATCACCACCGAAGGGGCAGATGTTCCTCTGGACCCACCGGAGGGCCTCGACCTGATCCTTCAGTCCCAAATTGCCAGGGGCTAGAGCATCGCCGGTAGCCGTGAAACCTGTGGAACAGTCGAAATCATCTCGTCAGTGAATGTTTCCTGGGAAATTAATTTTGGTATATTTATCTAGTTATAGGAAGAGATATTCCAGTTTTGTCTGGTATTTGACGTTTTACCGATTGCACCGAGGCGGTAATTTACGGTGACTAAAACAACATCTTCATCTAGTAAATATTGAGGTCCGAACACGTAACTCTGGCCGGAGAACCCGACGAAAGCACCTGGATGGAAGAATACTATAACTGGTCTTTTTGTTTCAGCTCCTAGCTAGAGATGAATTTGAGTTAATTAGAGTTTGGTAGGAGGTAACAGGATTATTTTGATGTTGGGGTACTTTGGTGGTGTAGACGTTCAAGCGAAGACAGTCATCGCTCTTGTTTTGTCCGCCTGTTCTTGGGCAGGATGGCCCCTCCTCCGAGGCATCGAAGACGTTCGTCCAAGGTTTAGCTGGCACTGCGAGCTACTTGAACATATCAAGTTCAGTGATTTATTACATTTATTAATTAAGTGGAAAATCTCATTCATTTAAAAACTTCATCCACTCCAAAGTGTCGTTGATCAGGCCCCGGGGCCGGAGGTTGAAATTTTTTATTTTTTTTTAAATTGAATATCTGAATGATTGAACGTTTACGGAATTAACAATTAATGGAGTAAAAAATTGAGTTTATAAAAAATGATTTTCCTCTCCCGGAATTCATAGGTCAGGCCCCTGATCAGCCCCTGAAAAAGTCACTTTCCTTCTTGAAAATTCATAAATGAGGCCCCTGGGGCTGGATGAAGAACAAAAATTTAATTCTCATATTTCATTTGTCTCTAACAATTTTATTATTACCCACGAGGCAAATATACATTAAATCAATATTTAATTGATAAACAATTTGGATTTTACAGAAGAAAATCAATGGCGTTATAATAATAATAGCGCACGTTCGATAGTTCATAAAAATATGAAAATGAAAACGAAAAAATGAAATTAAAAAAATTTGGTAATCAATCCGAGACAGAACAACCACAAGAATAATTTTATCTCATGATCATGAATGAAAAATATTTTTTCCTCACGTTAAATCGGAGATGTCCGATCGGTGCCTCAGCATACCTGAGTCCCCGAAAGGCGTAAATCCTTTTTCCCAATCGAGACTCGAAGAACGAGCCCTTGGCCTTCCCCAGGGTAAATGTCACCTCAGGATTTTCACTGGAATTCCCTGAAGTCCCTGAACCCAACATCAGCCCAATGATTAACGCGGAAAGAATGAATAACCGAGCCATTGCAACCGCATACTGAGAAAATACGATCGGTGCAATCCGACTATATAACGAATCCCACGAGGAAAACCTTGGAAATGTTCATTGTGATAAATATATCGTTATGTATATGAATTTTAGTGACGTTATTTCAGGGAATACAGACAGACGTTTATCTGGAATCAGTGGAACATTTTAATTATGATTCTATTTATCTCCCATTTGTTAAATCATTATTTATGTCCCCAGATAATTCGATTTCTATTTTAGAAAGAGCAATTTTGCGTTCTTCATCGGAGAAAATATTGCGCAATTGCAGAGGAAAAATAAGTAGATTGACAAGAGGAAAAAATTGACTGTTCTGTTTTCCCCAGCCAGCCATTTAGTTCCCAGGAAGACTATTTATTGTTATTATATTTATTTATGTCTTTATTTTTTAATAAATTTCATCCATGCATTCAATAACAAATGACACTTGACCCACCCAAATTGACTTGTATGACAGTTCACAGGAGACAAGTCAAAAATTTATATCAAAAACCTTTAATTATTAATCAGTACTATTTATTACTAATATACAATTTTAATGAAGAACTCCGGATCAACGGAATTGTTATCCCTGGGAGTATCCATTTTTCACCAGTGATTTGTGAGTGTCTGAAAATCGTCAAGTACTCAGGTTAATCCTCTTTCACGCAGACTATGACGTGTGGGACAAGTCAGAAGTTCAAATGCGATATTACATAATTTACTGGTAAGTACTGACTTTAAGTCCTTCGAATTTCCCTCAAGAAATCCTTCAAAAACTTATTAATTATTTTTATTATCTCCAGCTTCTTCTGTACTGTCATGTACAGGTGCAGTGGCTGCTCTGAAATTCCGAGTCCCCCAGATGTCCCAATTCTCCAGAATTCATCAGCAATCCCTTCAAAAACGTATCGGAACCGATTGCTCCTTCAATATCGACCGAGTGAGTACGTCAGTCCTTGGGACACGTATCAAAATCCTCAGTGGCTCCCCATGACAGCTCGAAGACGCCAAATAAACGGCAGAAAATTTTCCCGCCGGAATAATGGGGTTTCCCCGTACTATAACCCCAGGGTGCAGAATCAGGGGTACCACCCTGCACTCGTGAAAAGATGGAACTTATTTCATCGCGGGACTGAGTCCCCTGTCAATTCCTCATCGTCAAGTAGTCTTTTAAATACTCCAATCACTCATGAATTATCCCAGAACAGCACGAATGCAACATCAACCCCTGAAAATTACGTCAACACCACAGGGGACCCTCTCACACCTTCAAACGACACAGACAATATCTTGAACATTCAAAACCGAGATGTCCCTGAGTGGCAAGTGCCGGACTCTAACCCACAAGACCCCCATCCTCTCTACCCAAATTATGGAATTGATTCGATGGATTCCCCAGATTATCGCGAGCAAAATATCGATTTGGATGATAATGAAAATTTGAAGAAGTTGGAAATGGATCCATTGGATTCCTCTTCAAAATTCAAGAGAGGATTCAGATTACTTCCGGTTTCCAATGATTTATACGTCCTCAAACGTGATCCTGCGACTTTAGCCCTTGAGAGTGTCAATGACAATCAGAAAACAGGAGATCTGAAGCGTTCGAATCCCCAATTCGATGATGGAACAGAAGACTTGTTATCGTTCAGGGCTCACATGCATCACAGAGTCGAGGACATTGGGAAGAGGTTCATGAAGAGGGACATGAAGAAGGATGTACTGTCTTCAGGTGCTGAAGCTGTAGGAGAGAGTCCAGATCCATTAAGTGGAGGTCTAGATCCATGGAATTCTGGTTACCCTGGTCTTGGACAGTCTCTGGACGACTCCAGTGCTGGTCTTCAGGGGCTGAACTCTCCCGTTGATGCTCTTCAGGATCCGCTTCTAAATCCTATTGAGAATAACCCGGATAATCTGAGGATGTATGAGAATCCTTACGCCCCTGTGGACTCCTCGGGCTCTTTCGGAGGATTTGATCCATACCATCCACACTCGATGCTGACTAAGAGCTTGTATCAGCCTATGCCCAACCTCCAATCGAACTTCTACCCTCCGCTGGACAACCAATGGCGTCCCAGCTACCTGAATCCTATCGGTGTAAATGCTCTGGAAGACAACAACCTCGCTGAACAGTACAACAGCGTCATGGAGGGCAGCCCGGAGGACCTGGACAGAGGGCCTCGAGGCGATCCTGAAGAGGGTCACCTGGGATATCTGGACAAATATGCTAGTGCGGTCGCCTCCATCAACGACAACTGGAATCTAGCTCAGGGAAATGGAGGTGGAGATGACGTTGTACCTGCAGACATCATCGGAGGGACTCCGGCTCCCCTCAACGAGCCGTTGGAGACTTCACAGTCACCAAAACCTCCAGAAAGTCCTGAAAAAGTCAACAGCTCATCACTAGCCATGGTGATAGAACCGTTAACGGTTCAACTTCAGAAACTGCTGTCGTCTATTCAACAGGTCAATGAGAAACTGATGAGCGATCAGAGCAATCATGATACATCTAGCCCAGTGGATTCTCTCAGGAGAAAACGAGGGGCTGGTAAACACGCCCCTGAGGAGGAACTCTATGACGATCGTGATGAAGACCTGGATGATGAAGAGGAGACTAGAGAGGAAAGATCGGATGATGACGATCTGGATGAGGACACCATCGCTTGCCCACCTGGCACATCAAGAACTGGAAAGAGATGTTCATTACAACGTTTTTCGAAGAGCGACAAAAACGTCGATTTCGCAGCTGAAGACTTGAGAAATGATTCCACCAATGCCTCCCACTCACTGGTAGTGCAGAAGGACAAGAATAAATCGAACAATTCCATCACTTCCTTTTTCCAGAAGACTTTTGGGGTAGGGAGTAGTCCATCAACCCAAGTCCCCTTGAAAACCACTTGGACTACAATGAGACTGGCTACAGACCCTGAAGAGACAACTGTCGACATGTCCTATAAAGAGCATTTTATCAATCCTGGCTTTTTGAATGATGCAGGTGAAGCTGTAGTCGACAAATCCACTGTAGTAGTAGCTCATGATACGCAATTGCCTATAACCTCAAAAATTCCATTATACCCTGAAGACGAGCACACACGACGGCCAGAGATCCAAGAAGTATTGAAAACGACTGTAGGAGCTGCGAGCTCTCCAACAGCCCCTCCTCAACAATCAGAAACGCGACAGGCAAGTCCTCAGAATATATCAGCAGTGCAGACAACTCAGGGAATCCCAGAAGCGCTGGATAAAATCCCGGAAGTGTCGAATACTGAGGTGCTCAAGTTAGCAGAGTCTTCGGCAGGGGTTAAAGGTCAGATTGGCTCTACATTACTTCCGCCGAGTGATCTGGAAACAATTAAAGTCGCTATTGAACCCCTACCAGAATCACCAAACGATAATAGAGTTCCTAATCAATTCATTAGGACGAACTCTAAGGATTTATTGATAAGATTATTACCCCCGGAAATAATCCAAAACATCACAGATACTGGAGTTATCGTCCGAGTTCCAGGAGACACTAGCCTGAAGAAAACAACGTCTCCGACTATATCGACAGCCAAAACAACGATTGATCTTCAAGGGGATTCCATGTGGCTCTTCGAGGGTCAGGGACGCATAAATAACCCTCAAGAGAGTGGAAAAGGGATGAAGAGTCGGTCAAATGATGATGTCGGTGATAAACCTGGAGACAGCGATGCGGTGGTGGCCGTTGGAGATGATGAAGAAGAGGTTGGAGACACGAAATTAACGATTAGACTGCGGCTGCCGAATCGAAGTCATCATGCTTTTCAGAAGGTCCAGAGGAGCGTAGAGGGTAAAGCGGATGACACAGCAGGGGCAATCCCTCCGAAGACCTTGGCAAAGAGATCGGAACCTGAGGATAATTCTAATGAAGAGTATGAAGACTATCAAAATCTTGAAAAAAGGAATGCCGAGAACATCGGGAATGACTATCTAGATAATTTGGAAGAGAATGACGGGGAACTCGAGGATTACGATGATGAAGAGCCCGAGGAGGAACTCAAATACGAGGATAAGAGATCGGCGAAGTCATCGGACGTAAGTCAGAGCTCTCCAGCGAGTGTTCCAAAGGTAGTTCTCCGATTGAGATTACCGGAAGACTCGGAAACGTCATCAGACGTGAAAAGATCTCCTTCGAAGGATCAGAAGACAAGACAACAGATGACGAAGAAATCGAAGAAGTCGAGCGTCAGGATTGGACGGTCCCTAATGTGGGTCGTTGATCAACCTGAAGAAGGAGATCGATTCCCGCGTGAAAATGATCTCGATTTTTTTGGGACAACAAAATCTGAAGGCGAACAGCTGTCGACGAATGTGGAAAAACATCGAACTCTTCCGGAGGAAGCAACGGCTTACGAAAATATTTTGGGGATTTTGAACGATTCTACTGAGTTTCAAGTGATGAGTTCATTAGCAGCAATTACTACCCAAGAGCCGGGAACAACAATTACTGAGACATTGCCTTCTTTTCATTCGACTACAGAAACATCAAGTAATTCTGGAGGTATAGGTGTCAGCACTTCAAAAGAAGCAACTGTTAGTAGTCAACAGACAATACAAGCCGAAAATACCAGTAAATTGTCTTCAAGTTCTGGAGTTACAACCGAAACAACCACTTTAACACCAACTGCTTCATCAACAAGTTCAACTTTATCAGCAACCCAGGATGTGGCTTCCGCAGCCATTGGAGAAACGTCTACCACAGCTCAAACGAGATCAGAAGAGATTGTTTCTTCTGAAGAAACTTCTAATCTGTCAACTTCTACTACTAGTAGCTCATCAGAAATATCTGAAGGACATCCTCCGACGACGAAAATACTTGAATCATCAACACAGATGTCAACTACAACGGCAACATCAACAGAAATCTCAACATCTGGAGCTACATCTCTTTCAACAAAAATTACAGAAGAAACTACACGTGAAACAAATAAATTACTATCGTCACCTGTCCTTGAAATTTCAAGTACGGAATTGACAACGTCAAGTTTTTCTACCGAAATGCCCTCCTCATTGCGTCCTTCAACAACCGAGAAATTAGAAATAATTTCTTCGCAATTTCAAGACGAATTGGAGAATATTTCTGGGCCTGAAGCAAGCGTACAGACGGAAAAGGTGGTGACCAACTTCTTTGTGACCTCTGAAATTCCCAAGAGCATGATGGTAGAGCTGGGACTAGAGAAGAATAAAGAAAAACAACTAGAATCTACTTCGAATCCCTTCACATCTCCAGGAGCTAGAGAAGTCACGACGGATTCGTTGAGTCTTTCCACTGAAGTTGAGACCTCGACGGATCATTCAAGTACTTCGTCTTCAGAAGCAGAAACTGAAGAGAGTGCTGGGACTTCTACTTCAACTCCCACAGCTTCCGAAACCACTACCCTTTCCACAATTCTCCAAACAGTTTCCAATTTTTTTTCAATACTCACCACTTCAGACTCTAGCTCCTTGATAACTGAAAGAACATCTGAGATCCCGTCTTCAACAAGAGTCGGGGAGTCTACAGTGCCTGGAAAAGAATCACCATCAGAACCTACTGAAGAAGCTTCCGATTCCTCTAGTTTATCAACAACAAAAGCCAAAAAGACTTCAGAATCATCTTCATCTACAACAGTTGAAACAGAGATGACTTCTGAGCTGGAAGAATCAGTTTCCAATGTCAAATCAACATCCGAAGGCCTTGAGGAGACAAATACCTCCACCCAAAAAACCTTAACAGGAATCATCACTGAAAAAATTAGCACGTCTTTTCCATCAACACAGTCCCAAAAAAAATCTCAAAAAACAGCAACTCCACATCAAACCTCAGAAATTACGACAGGTGGTTCTAGTGAAGAAAAAACTTCAGTATCATCTTCAGCACTGACATCAGAAGAAGCTGAAAGTAGTACTACATTGGCAGTTTCGTCAGCTTCCACAGCGATGTCTGCAGGTACTGAAGAGACGACAGAGTTGTCGGCAACTCAAACAACCGCTGAAGAAACAAATACTACTGAAGAAATAACAACTGTGACGAGAGTTGTGACAGTCCCACCCAAAAAATCAAAACCATCGAAATCAACAAGAACTTCAGAAGCGACTGAAGAAACATCCGAGTCCGCAGAATCGTCAACTGAATCCCATGAAAAAAATACAGCAAGTTCAAAAAAAACGACGAGTACTTCTGAAGAAATCTCTGAGTCCGTGTCTTCGACTGAAGAAAAAGCACCAACTTCGTTGCATTCTACAGGGACTTCAGAACTAGTTTCGTCCACTGAGGTCGAAACCACCACTTTAAAATCTTCTTCTGAGGCAACTTCAGAATCTTCTGTATCACCTTCTGCATTTTCTTCTGAGTCATCATCAAAATCTTCTGTTTCACCTTCTGAATCTTCTTCTGAATCAACATCAAAACCTTCTGTATTAACTACAGAATCTGCTTCTGAGTCAACTTCAACATCTTCTCTATTAACTACAGAATCTGCTTCTGAGTCAACTTCAACATCTTCTCTATCAACTTCAAAATCTACTTCTGAGTCGACTTCGGAATCTTCTTCCGAGTCAACATCAGTGGCTGAAGGCTCATCGACAGAGTCCACTACATCAACATCCGAAAAAGTGCGCACGGTAATTGAATTTACTAGAACGACAATGGTTGAGAGCACCTCTGAGTTACAAACTGAATATTCAACAACTGGGAAGACTACCCCGATAGAAGAAACTCACGCGCCAACTCCAGTTCCAGAAATTACTCTGATGTCAACAATTACTCCCTACCCTACAGAATCCACTGTTGACTTATCAACATCTCCAACCGCCAGTGAAAAAATGACTGAAGAAACTTCATCAACGCCCTCTCATTCCAAAACTCCTCCTGAAGTTACAGAAGTTGAGGAGACATCATCTTCAGTAGAAATCAGAAACAGTTCGCCTGAATTCTCCCTAAGTTCAGAGGAAACTGAAACCTCGCCCGAGCGAACATCTGAATTATCTTCAAGTGCATCAAGTTCCGAAGAATCAGAAACAGAATATTTTTTTGATGAAACCGCAAATGAATCTGAAGAATCAACTTCAGAGGGAAAAGATGTCTTCCAAGATTATATTGACACTTCAACTTTTAGTAGAGGACCTTCAGAGGGTGCCCCAACCAGTACTACATCTGAAAGTTTTTCAGAAAGTACTTTTATTACTCCCGAAGGCGTATTATTGACTGGTGCTTCCCATTCAACATCAATTTCGTTGGATAAATTAGTGAGAACTACAGAAAAAGTACCAGGAACGAGTATTTCAACTGTTTCGGCTTTTCCTTCTGCAACTGAATCAAGTACCAAGAAAACCACAGTACTCCCGTCAACAAGTTTTTCCCAAAGTAGTTCCACACTTACGGAATTTCCGAGCAGCTCTCAATTTTCCTCAATGCCAATTGCTATGAGTGAATCAATTGAAACAACAGAAGTACCAGAAATAAGTACTCTCTCGCCAACTTTTACTTCACCTTCTACAACTAAATCGAGTACAGAGACAATTACCCCATTCACGAGTGAAAGTACTTCCGGCAGTACTTCCACAACTTCAAAGAACACTATCGAGTTGTCGAGTACTGGTACTTTTCCCTTAACATCATTTTTAACAAGTGAATTCATGGGAACGTCAGAGGAAGTACCAGAGACAAGTACTAGGCTCTCATCAACTTCCATTTCCTCTCCTGCGACTCAATTAATTACGGAGGAAATCATGTTATCCCCAATTTCTTTGGAGAGTACTTCTACGACTGCGAGAGGCACTAAAGAATTTTCAAGTACTGGTACTTCGTCCTTAACATCAATTTTAACGGGTGAACCAATTGAAACTACAGAAAAAGCACCAGAGATAAGTACTTGGGTCTCGACAGCATTGACTTCTTCTGCAACTGGATCAAGTACAGAAGAAAGTACATTATCTACCGTTGAAAATATTTCAGCGTACACTCCGACAATTGCAGAGAGCACCGCTGAAACGTGGAGTACTGGTACTTTGTCTTCGACTTTGTCTTCAACATCCATTTCCATGGGCACTACAGAGAAAGTACCGAATATAAGTACTTTGTTTTCTGCAACTTCTATTTCTTCTTCTGCGCCTCAATTAAGTACGGAAGAAATTATATTATCCACAATTGAAACTCCTCCAGAGAGTAATTCTACGTCTGCTGGGAGTACTACAGAATTGTCAAGTACTGGTACTCCCCCCTTAACATCAATTTTAACGAGTAAATTATTTGAAACTACAGAAAAAGAATCAGAAGTGAGTACCCAAACCTTGACAACTTTCATTTCTTCTTCGGCAATCGAATCAAGTACAGCCGAAATCATATTACCTGTGATGGAAAATCTGTCAACGAGTACTTCCACAACAATCTTAAGTACTGGTACTTCCCCTGCAACACCAATGTCAACCAGTGAATCAGTTGGAAGCTCACGAGAAGGACCTGAAATAAGTACCCAGGCGCTGACAACTCCGATTTCCTCTGCAACTCAATCTAGTCCTGAAGAAAGTACGTTGTCCGTGATTGAAAGTACTTTCCCCACATCACAAAGCACTCAATCATTTGGTACAATAAGTACTGTTCCCCCAACGACAGCAGAAGTACCTGAAAGTACATCAGCTCCAGCTGACTTCTCGCTTTCCTCTCGATCCCGATTTCCTACGGAAGAATTTTCAATCTCTTCGGCAAGAAATAGTGCTACATCATCTCCCAGTACTTTAGAAAGTATTGAATCTACGAGTGAGATATTTGAAACGACCTTGAAATCACTCGAAATAAGTGCATCAACTTCCTCCACGGGTTCTTCTCTCACCAGTGAATTTACCACGGAAGAAATTACAACAATCGGTTTTTCTTCTTCACCTCCCACTACATTTAGAATTACTCCAGAGGAGACTTCAAGTACTTCCAAGAGTACAAGTGCTTCAACGCCACTCGCAGAGGAAATTACAACTTTCCCAGTAATTTCGATTGAACCTTTTCGAATCCCGACGGAATCATCATCTGCTTCCACTGGAGTTCCGTCAGAGCAACCATCATTCCTGCTCACGAATCCACCAGCAAACAGTCTCATTAACACCAAATTCTTTCCAACACTCGAAGACATCTCGACAACCCTCGCTACGTCGATCATCACAGAAGAAACATTCGGAACTGAAAAAACAGAAGGAGAGAATGGAGATTACGAAACAGAAATAGAGACCAAAGGAGAAGCCCCTGAGGGATTAGAATATGAGGAAGAAATTGGCCTTAAAAACTTGACAGATTATTTTGAGTACTCGGAGGAAGGCTCCACCATGAGGTGGGGAACGTCTGCAAGACCTGAAGTGACTCATAGCTCCGACACTTCAACGCAAACATCGAGAGAAACTACTCTGGGGAGCTGGAAGACTTCATCAAGTCTAGAGGTGATTCCTGAGAATGTTGGAATGAGAGGACAGACAACTCAAACATCTAGAGCTACTTCTGAGTCGCTTCCAAGCTCAGAGATAGTTTTGGAAGTCTCGAAGGCGACGTCAACTACTGCAGGTCTTCAGGAAACCTCAGAACCATTTTTGACGGTTTCAGAATTTGTGAGTGGTACTTCGGCAACTTCTGAGCTTTTTCAGAACTCTGAAACGACTCCAGGACCACTCACAATCTTGGAAAGCAGTTCGGAAGCATCTGGAACGATTTTAGAAGTTTCAACAGCTTTTCTACCAACTTTCGAGGTCTTTCAAAGCTCTAGCACAACTTCAGAGACACTTTTACCTTGGGAAAGTACTTCGGAAGCCACTGCACTAGTTTTTCAAATTTCATCAAGTCCTCCAGTGGCTTCTGAGTTATTTCAAAGTACGGAAACCGCTTATGGTCGAATTACAGATCTCAAAATGTCCGCTTCAGCTTCAGAGTCAACTCCTTCAACCCCTGGAGTATCAACATCTTCCTTTCCATGGGAAACCCGAGGTCCAACCGAACAATTGACCAGCATCATCACGGAGTACGAATCAACTCCTTCCGGAATAACCTTGGAATACGAAGGAGGCACATCGTTGACGCAATCGACAACCGGAGGGTTGATTTCAGGTACCAAGAACTTCGACTGGCCAGAAGTCTTTCCAGACCTTGAAGAGGGATCAACCACTCCAGGATTCGGAGAGAAACCGTTCAAAGTGTCGACAACCACCGAGTTCGTGCTGAATGTCTCCATGCCCAAGTTTTTGGAACGACCGGAAACCCCTTCTGAAGATTATCCCGACAAAATTTCCAAGGCCAAGTCACAGACTCTATTACCTCAGGAATTAACCATAGAAAATCAACTTTCTTTGACAACATCCTTCGAAAGACTTGATACATCTCCAGAGTTTTATTCAGGAACAGAAGTTCTCTTGTCTTCATTTTTTCCGGGCGTAAGTTCTATGCCATTGACGAAACCTGAGGTGGTCTTCCCCTCAGAAACTACACAGTTAAAACCTGAAGAAGAAACCGAATCCACAGCTTCATGGAGTTCTTCAACGGAAGAGAGTGCTGAATCTTCTGAAGGAACAGCCAAGTCCGAAGACGTAGAAGAAGAAGAAGTGTCATCAGGTTCTTCAGAGAGGACAAACGAAACTCCAGGTCAATTAATAGAAGACGAAGAGACTTTGAAGGATGAAGAGAATGAACAGTTGGAACGCCGTAAAAAGCTTAGGAAGAAAATGAAAGAACTTGAAGAGAAACAGAAAGCTCTTCAAGATCGAGAAGCCGAGTTCCGCCGTCGGCAGGAGGAATGGGAGCGTGAGAAATTAAATCGTCAGCGAGAAAAAGCGCGTCTCGAAGAAGAGAAACGAAAAACGACGACGACAATCAGAACTACCACCACCGAAATTCCTACAACGACCATTGACTACGCGAAATTGGAGAAACTCGAAGAGATGAAGCGGAAGCAAGAAGAGTTGAATGACGAACTCGAGCGGATGGAGAAGGAAATTGTGGAAAAGGAAAAAGAACTTGAGGAGATGGAGACAACTCTGGCGGAGGAAGAGAGAAAGTATGAGCAGGAGAAGGAGGAGTTCGAGAAGATGTGGAATGAAGAGGAAGAGGTGGAGGAGCGGGAGAAAGAGCTTGCCGAGAAAAAGAAGGAGCTGAAAGACAAAGCGGAAGAGTTAGAGCAAAAAGAGGAATCTTCATCAACGGAGGATGAGTTGGAATCAACTAGTGAAAAGTCTTGGTCAATGTCTGAAGAGTTCTCACCATCGGAAAGATTATCATCCCCCGAAGATAAATCCTTGACTTCTAGAAGAGCTTTGTCAACAGAAATTCCTCCAACGGAGTCAACATTGAGTTCTTCATCCACTCCAAAAACGACATCAGCTTCATCAACACCTCTTCAGCTACCTGAAACGTCACTCCGCAGGGGTGAAGGTGATGATGAATTGAAAGAGCCGTCAGACGATTACGTCTTCGATAAGAACGAAGAGGTATGGAAGGAGCAACAGCCTTCTGACTCCGATCGGAAGACAACTGAAGACTACGAAGAGGGATGCTCATCTCCGAAGGCAACAGTTGCTCCGATCAGTCGAGCTCCTCAAGAGGATGTTGAGGAGTCCAAGAAGGAGGGAAAACTCGAAGAGAGCAAAGTAGCGGAACTACCCGAGGAATCATCTACGAAGAAAGTTTGTCTTCACGTGTTGGACGCAGATAGTCCCTCTGGAACAGTTGATCCCGGTAGATACGTCACTAAACTCATGTGCCTGCCTAATTTCCGGGGACTTCATCACCGCTGGGGAAGATCTAGAGACAACTCTCGACGGCGACGACTTATGAACGCAGAGGAGACATCAACAGTTCCAATGAATCGGATTGATCTCCAGAAAAGATCGAAGGATGTCGTTCATGAGTTCAAGATCAAACCCATCGCTTCTCTTGATCTTGTCCATGGCGAATGGCTGCATAATGACACTACGATGCCTCTCCACACGCCCGTGGGTTTCACCAGGGTTTACGAGAGTTGGTCGAAAGTCCCTTTCCAACCTTTCACCTTCATGGAGGACTTCACCAGGAAGGGATATCCAATTCGGGATGAAACTTTCATGCGAAAGCATTTCAAGCTCAACAAGTTTGAACAGAGAGTGCAGCCAACTCAGGTCAACAGGCTAGCAAATGACGAGTGGAAAGAAATCTCTGTTAGACCTCGCGTTGGAGGAACAACTGGAATTGATGAAGAAGGGGAACAAAGTGACGTTGAAAATGAAGGCGAAAATCGAGGAGATGATGACACCAGGGACCAGCGGAGAAGACGGGTCCGTGAAGACTCCGGACGTCCGACTGAATTTCCCCCAGCGTACGAAGAGAATTGTCTTCTTCAGCAACATGGCCGTTGGAGAAGTGACTCCCCAGACCATGAAGATTCTGAGGACGAAGAGGAGGATCGAAATGATGAAAATCAAGTCTTTGTAGAACCGGAGACGGCACGCGAAAGTGACGACTTAGATGATGACGCGGAGAGTGAGAAGGATGAGAGAACTATTGCCCCTGATAATGACGATCATTCTGGTGATGCCAGGAGTAAGGATGAGCCCGTAAATGCTGACGAGAGTCCCTCTGATGGTGAAGAAAAACCGGAAAATCAAGGAGAATCTCCTCCGCAAAATGAAAAAGAATTAAAAGCTCATGACAAAAAAATCTCTGGTGACGCCCAAAACGAGGAAATATCGGATAAGAAGAATCAAGGTCATTCCGACGATTTCCGAGATGAGGAAGGAAATTCTGAAGCTAACCCACCAACTGTTCCGAAGAATGAAGAAGAATCATCATCCCTGACACCATCATCTTCTTCTAAATCCTCTCATCGACGCGAGACGACCCAGTCTCTCCTAGAGACCTCAACAGCTGATTACGGAGATATTGAATACGTCACGAGTGAAGATATCGAGTCGTTCGAGAGCTCCGACGAAGACGATGAAGCGATCCCCGAGAATGGTTGGCAGGACTATGAGAGCTCGGATGAAAGCGAACGCGACCTCCAGAAGCGTGAGGGAAAGCTTCTGTCTTCTCTCAAGTCCCTGATCCACACGAAGGAGTTGTTAATGAATAAAAAAAGATCGCTATTGCAACGGGAAGATCTGCTGAAGCAGAAGAAGAAACTTCTCGAGCAGTCGAAAGCAGATCTTGAGCAGCGAAAAGCGAAGCGGTCGAAGAGAAAGACGGGAAGGAATAGCAAGCCGGTGACATCATGGCCAACAGAAGGCACTGGTAGGTATCATCTTGGTGGTCATGACAAGTGGGACTCTGGGCTTCTTGAGGACGTCCCTCAGGACTTTAAGAAGGAGAAACAAGCGTTTACAGTTAATGTTCTTCGATTGGACTACGACGAGGAGGAGGAGAATCACAAGTTGAAGTGTGAGGAGCCAGGAAAGGAGGATCTTGTCGTTAACCAGGGCTTGGTGACCAGGAAAACTGAGGAGACGACCCTGAAAAGAACTTCATGGAGTTCTGAATCCACGACGAAGCAGTTCAAGCTCTATTACGATCCGAATTCAGAAGCTGAGGTTGTCGCTGATGAGAAGTCTTTGGATGCGGCAGTAGACAAGGGATTGGGAAAACGTGGAAAGGGATCCGTGAAGACCACTAAGGCACGAAATCCACCAGGCACAGAGTGGCCGACGGAGAAGACGATGGATTATCATGTAGGAGGGACAAAATTTTGGGACAAAGAAGTCACTGGTAATCCTAATGGCCAGAGTTACAGACGGAGGAACATCAGAGCGATGGATTATAGTGATGATGCAGGGGAAGAGGAGGAGGAGGAAGAAGTTACTGATGACTTCGGCACAACGTGCTACACATTGCTTCTCAAAAAGGAAGATGCTGCGGCGTTAACGCAAAAAAGAAGTGTTGAAGAGCAGATACAAGAACCTGAAGATGTCGATGATGACTATGATGAGGGGTTGAAGCTCAGATTGAGGACTATCAAATCAATAACTCAACTGACACGTGAAGAATCTCCGAGCAGTAGTCATGGACAATTTCGGAGGTCAGAGAATTTACCAATCGTCGATGAGTCAATTTCTTCGGAGTCTATAACTCAGGTCAAACAGCGGAAAAATGAGAGACAAGAAAACCTGCCACAACATCTACCAGAAACACCTGTTCAAGACCTGAAAAATTTACCCTTGCTGATCAGGATGAACAGCTCCAAGATCATCAGAATGGCTGGTCTTGATCGTCCACCGAAGGAACTCTACGTCATGTACAAATGTGGACCACCGGAGATAGTGGCTGTGTTCGATCCTAAATCAGAAAATTCTATGGATAATTTTCAAAATCTCGGAACGCTGCCCACAGCTATCGGTGCTATGAAGGACTATCAAAACATCAAAGGTCATTGTAAAGGATCGGAACATCCTGAAGCTTCTTCGACGAGTCCTAAATACAAAACCATCTTTCCATTTAATCCGAACCAAGTTTCCGAAGCTACTATTGCTTCCATTCAAGCTCATATCCACGGAGAGCTGAACACTTCCTCAAATTTATCGAAGAGAAGTTCCCGGAAGAAGAAGAGGAGAAGAAAGGGAAAAAGAAAGGGTCACAAACGACGAAGGAAGCCTCACAGACATCGGAAGAGAAGAATACTCAGTGTAACTGAAGAACTCATCCCCGAGATTCCAAACTCTAGCTATCTCTTCACCATTGCTCATCGGGAAGAGCCCCACGAGGGGATCGGAAGGTCTTTATTGGCCCTGAAGTCCTCAAAAAGGAAAGCCAAATTCTTGAAACATAACAAGAAACCTCGACCGACTGGAAAACCGAAGAAGAAATCCAAGAGGCGAGAAGCCAAGAAAGTCCACAAACGAGAGACGACTTCGAAGATTATCTCCAAAACCCCGGGACACTCTGGAAGCACTCCTCAATTGATGAACCGAGTCTTCAGTATCATCAGAACCCCGAAGGAAACTTCTCAACATCGAAATCAAAAATCTCCTAGAAGTATCATCGACACGATGAAGCAGGTCATCAACAACGTTATCGGCCACAACTCGACGACTCCTGAGCCTCAAGTCAACATCAACCCAGACGATGAGGACGTAGAAGGTGGTTACACTGAGATTGTCCATCAGTCCGCGGGAAAGTTCATGCCGAAGGATGATTTCTCGTCTGATCGTGATGAAGATGAGAGGCACCACAGGAAGAAAACTCATCACCATCATCATCCTTCTCATCATCTCCATCATCATCGTCAACATCATAATCATCATCATGACCACAAGACAAATCACCTTAAAAAAAATCATTCAAAATATCATCATCACGAAAAGCCTTCAAGGGAGACTCGTGTTCGATTGTCAAGACCAAAAATGGCGCCAACTCCGCTCGTCAAACATAACCTATCGCCCTTGACGATCTCTCAGGGTGAACAAAAGTCTCTGAACATCAGCAGTATAATTCCTACGGTGAAGAATTTGGTGGAGAATCAAAATCTTGGAAGTCTCGAGAAGATCATTGTTTATGTTGATAAAACGGAGGGTTTCAAGAAGAAGAAACGCACTGCTGGTAGATTTCCCGCCAAAATCACGTCCAAATTTCATGATGAAGAGAAGAAAGAAGGGAAGAGGTCGAAGGCGGTGGATAAGAATCCCAACGAAGTTTATTTCGACGGTGCGAGTCTAGACGACATGATATCTCACGTGGCTGATAAAATCATAACCTCCGTCTCTGGATCATCTCTTCATGAACTAGATCCTCATCTCAACGTTAAAGTAATTCAGGAAGTGCCCAGTGGCTCTGGAAGTCCTCATGAAGAGACGAAATCCGAATTTTCGATTGACTTGACAGATGTTAATCTCGGAAAAAGCAAGAAATCTCTGAAAAAGGATATCTCGAGGTCAAGTAAGATTTCTTCTTCAACTCGGTTGACGTCTGGATCTGGCAAACGGAAGATGAATTTAAAAGAGGCTCCGGGGAAGAAGAGAAATCTGTGGAAGAGTAAAATTAAGAGGGAGAATATTGTTGAGGTGATCAGGAAGAAACTCGAGGGAGTGTTGAAGAAGAAATTGAGTAGAACGAGAAGGAAAGCAGCGGCGCAGAGTCTCGAGGATTCGGAGCAACCGCTGCCCCATCATCTGGATGACTTGGACGAGAAAATTCGAATTCTTTATGCTATGCATCATGGGAAAGAGGAGAAGGAAGGGGAAGATAAGAAGAAAAAGAAAAGAGGACAGAAAAATCGCAAACGGTCGAAGAGGGAAGACGACTGGCGGCTGGATTATCTCGAGTCCAATATCTTCGCTACTGAAAATGACAAAAAGTCATTGAAGGGGCTGATAGAACAGATCATGGATCTCCAGAAGAACGTCAACACGACCTTGCAGATCATCAGACGGAGGTTAGACGAGTCCTCTAACATTCTCGCACGTAATCTGACTCACGGAATGGTCACCGACTCGTCTTCATCAACCACAATCCAGGAACGATCCATTCCGACCAAAAAAACAGACAAACAAAAACTGAAAAAAACTGAAAAGAAGAAAACTGACAAGACAAAATCGAAGAAGAAACCGACCCCCAAACCTTCGAAGAAAATAACCAAACCAGAGAAGAAGAAATCCCAAAAACCGAAGACTAAAGATTCAAAAAAAAAACCTGAAACAAATTACGGTGACGAACAGGTGGACAAAATTGGTAACGAAATACAAGAAATTTTGAAGGAAGAGGGAGACGGAAAAATTGCAGGTAAAAAGAAAAAGACCAATCGACGAAAGACGCGAACACTCAAGGGAATCCCCGAGGACGACAACTTCAAAATCGGTCGCCATCTTTGTTCGAGAAATACCAACAAACACAAAAAAACGGCGGGAAAAACTTTGAAAAAGCGTAAAAAATCGAAATCTTCTAAAAAAAATCAATCGCAAAAGGATAAAAAAATCCAAAGCACCAAAAAATCGAAATCGGCGGTGAAGAAAGTGACGAAAAATTCCCTATCGATTGTTAAAAATCGAAATAATCCCGATTTAGTGGTAAAGCATCAGAATTCATCTCGGGACGATGACTTGAGAGTCAGGAATACGTCATTTGTCCCTCATTTCCGGCCAAATCGTTCCGAAAATTGTGAAGGATGTCTTTGCGATCTCGAGGACGTCGTGACGAACCTCCGAAAGATGCTGCTGATGCGGAATGATTTACTAGACCGAATATCGACGTACTCTTGTCAGAAATTTATTGGAATCGGTGATGAGTTAGTCCTAACATCTTCTGGAGTTCTCGGCGATGTTCTCCCGAGGTCTCGGAGGCAAATCGCGGAGGCCAAAGGCCTAAAATACATAAGACCCGGGAACCTGGAGGATCTGCTCCGAGGGGATGAGGTCAGGGGTCATGGTAAGAGTCTGGTCTTCACTTCGAAGATGATGAATTGATTTTTCGTTGTTCTGCAGAGCACGAGATCCTATCGTTTCCCGGATCAGACCTAAATATTCCATGCAATCATGAGGGCGAGGAAATTACATGGCTCATGAGCATCAGTCGACCTAACTACACATGGACGAGGGTTGATAGCTCTCCGATCTCCGGTAATTAGATGAATATCTCGATAATTTCACACTTGTTGCTGATGAATTTCCCACAGGAACCACGAGGAAAAATGGAAATCTAGAATTATACGACGTCGATGCGAAAGACGCTGGAAATTACTCCTGCATCGTGACATACGTTGATCCAGACAACGAGGAACTCGTCGAGAATATCTACCAGCACAGCATCCAAATCGTAACACTTCCTCGTTACTCATTACGAGGTGGAAATCGTTACAACATGGAAATGTGTGAGGAGCTAGAGCTCGACATTCTCTCCGTGTACTTGCCCTCCAAACTCAATGAAATCCTCTGCAAGAACTCAATCTGCGACGCCTTCATCTTCGCCCCTCACTGTCACAGCCATCAAGTAAGTGAAAACCCAAATCCAAACTCCTTCAGATGGCAAAATAAAAATGGAAAGGTGCAGCAAAATGGAAAATTACGATTTTCTATTTTACTTCAGTTCCTCTCATTTAAAAAAATGAATTAAAAATCTCAAAGTCTTCTTTAGGTGTCCATCAGAGTTCTCGTGGTGCCCTCAAATCCCTCGAAATTGTTCCCCATTAGTTCATCCCAGTGTGGACTCAGGTGTCGGAAAGCTATTCAGGATAAAATCGCACTCTTGCTCACTCAGAATTTACGGATTATTCTGAGAAAGACAAGTGAGTTGATGCGGATACTTCCTAGGGAAATTGTCAGACGATTTTCTCTATAGAAAACTTTAACAACAGTTGTTTTTAGGTTGCCCAATCGTCCCCAGGACAAACTCATTCCCATTGAGAGCAGATTTATCGATTATGGAATGGGAAGGGGAAGGAGGGCTTATGGGAGGATGGAGAGAAGAGGTGATGCTGATGGAGAAGTTGGACTTCTTGTTGGGTGTCCTGCTGGATATGGCCTTGATAATAGTCACTGTGGTGCGATTTTTCTCTTGATATTTACAGATATCTGATCTGATCGTTTTTTATGGTTTTAGTTCCTTGTTCCCCTCATTACCACAGTCAAGATCTATCAGCGAGATGCAAGAGATGTCCTCTGGGGACCCATCAGCCTAGCACTGGCTCGAGGGTCTGCAGATCTTGCACGAATCCTTTTGTAGATGGATGCCATAATATGGTAATTCCAAGATATCAATTAATAAAAATTGATTGAGGCGCGATTAATTAATTATTCAGTATTGCCCAGTCCCACAGAAATAAAAAAAATAAAAACACTTACGAAGTAAAAATTGTAAAGTCATAAAATTGATAAAATTTAACTAAACTAAGTAGTCAAAATTAAACTAAAAAAATGACAATTATCTTGCGGCATAAATTTTTCATTTGGAAAAGTGTTTAAAAGGTCTCGAGTCATAAACAAGTGATCATTTTCCTTGATGCCGTGGAAATTCTTAAAATTCCAGTTGTGGACAACATCATCAGTCCTCCTCGGGGTGTTTGTTTCCTTCCTTGCGGTGATTCTGGTGGGCCTGATAGTCCTCTGGACCCTCTGTTGTGGAAAGCACAGGAAGAATTCCTCGAATTTCCCAGAAACCGAGATATCCCCGAAGCAGCCTCTGATCCCACCCCTAGACAGCCAGTCAGACCTCGAGGAATTGATTTGGGAGAGGCCCAAGAAGAAGAAAAAAAAACTCGTGAGACGATTGCTGAGCAAAGACGAGGAACAGCCACTGGTCTATGGAATTAATCTGCTGCCGAAGAAAAAGACTAATCGAGAGAAGATTAAGACGATTCCTGTCTGCTGCATTGACTCCTACAGATCTCATGGAGGGCACTGTCCTGACTGCAAGAATCCTCATGGAAATCTTCATGGAAGGGCCCATAAAAGGCCCCCAGTGCCGTTCCCTGATTTCGATAGATGACACAAAATTAATGAAGAGTTAGAGGAAAAATATTTATCAGTGGGAAAACACTGCAATGTACAAATTCAATGAGAGGCCTGTCTTATCAGTAATTCTGAATTTGTATTGACTAAAAAATTGTTAGTAGAAGAAATTCATTTAAAAATATCCAGCCATTTTGAGGGACTATGAGATAAGATGATTTGGAAGATAAGTCTTGGAGTTTATTTAGTATAATTTTTCTGTGGTAATTTTTTATATTTTATGTCAGGAAATTATTTTTAAGAACTTGATGTAAGTTTTTATAAAGTATCAGGAGATAATCATTTTGCTAATCAATAAAGAGAAAGATTTTTATTACTTTTGGGAGCTCATGCTTGGCCCTGGTACAATGATTTATTTAGTTTTTATATACATGACACGAAGTTTGTTTTCTAAGGGCGCCTTCTTACGAACTACTCCAAAGGGATCACCTGGAAGAGAAACAAATAGTGATTGTGTCTAATTTCTCAATTAAAATCAATTCCAAAAAATCTACATTTTATTGCAAAACATTTTGCTTATAGTTAAAATGAATTATCTCATTGTATAATTACAATTTTTATTCATTTAGATTGATTCTTTCTAGAAATTTCAACTTTAATTAATTCCAGCTAATTACTGTTGCGTGACAAGTTTGTGAGACAATTGTTAATTGTGGAATACAAATTATAAAAGGAGAGTACTTAGAATTTGATTGAAACACTGAACTTACAAATTACTTAAGCATTTGGTGGCGAACGATGAGGAAAGGTGCAGCAAATCCACTTCCGAAGAACAGGATGAAGTATGCCGTGAGTTTGTACCTGTTTTCGGTGCTGAAGGGAAGATTCTACGAGAATAGGATAAAATAAAAATTAATACCTCCAGGAATTCGTTCAAGTTAAGAATTTCATCTGGATTATGCAATAGGACGATTGCCCTTTTACTCACCCTTGCCGGTTTACCCCCAACTTCATCATGCCCAGATCTGCGAAGGGCACTGGTCGTAAATCTCCTGATCAATTGTCGCGACAACATTGTTTTTTAAATTCAATTTTCCGAACGAATTTATTGTTTTTTCAGACGAACGTGCGACACATTCGATAAAGAACAATCCAAGATGGAGTCGAGAGATCCTAGGGGAATTATCTAGTACTATCATGACCAGTTGATAAGGTAAACACCAGGCTTACCCTCGATTTTCTTGACATCCAACAGTCGATCTGAAATTGAAATAAAAATTCCTCCCTTACCTACAGTCGGTAATAATATCGATCAATTAAATCTGTAGATATAAAAAAGTGACTCATTTTTTTTTAATAAAAAATTTATAAATTAATATCCCATAACATTTTTCGGAAACAGAAATAATTAATGAAATATTGTCCGTAAATAGTAGAAATTGAAAAAAACAAGAATATGTTTTTTCATAAAAATTATTTATTTCTTGTGATGTAATATTTCAGTAGCGAAGTGGTAAACTAGGAAAAGTGAATTTTTCTCGAGGCCAATTCATGGCCAATATCTCGGAACAGAACGAACATACCGATTTTTTTGTATAAACATTTTTTACAGGTGAATATGAGAGCTACAAAAAAGGTATTCATGAAAATATGATTATCTACCTTCAATTTCGAGAAATCGGCCAGAAACTGGCCGAGAAAAAAAGTGCATTTATCCTAGTTTACCCTTCCTCAACAGATTTTTCAAGTTAAATATTCATGGAGAGTGGAATAAAAGGGAATTTGCAAGAATGTTTCTTGATATTAGCTGCATTAGTGAAGGTTTGGGGTCTGGACGTAATCTAAATCGATTTACAGCCCGTAGCTGTCCCCCAGAGTTATCGTAAGTGCAAAGTGAGGTATATCCGAACGCTGGAGTTCCGTTACTCCGGTTGTTGCCGTGGCCACCCACGAGGACCATAGGAAATGAAGCTAAAAACAGAGGAAGAAAAAAAAAAGTGCCTTAAAAAGGGGTGGGTGTGGGAAAGATATAGTTTGTGGAGTAGGGGTGGGGTGAAAACCCTGGTCTCACAGTTGCGGAAACGTAAAAGTCCTCCACCTCCGTGGTGGCACTTGAAAAGTGACGGAAAAAAGGACGAAACTGGAGAACTAGAGGGCGCACTTTTCTCCAAAGTAACGAACACCGAAGAAAGCAAGGGAGAAAAAAAAAGGAGGAAAAAAAATGTCACCCCCTCGCCCCTCTCGGTTCACCGCGACTTTTATTTGAAATTCTGACGATAAAAAATATCATGTGTTTCAGGAGGTATGGGGATAAGGATCTCCGGGTTCTGGGGTTCAGCAAGTTCACCGACACGTGAACTTGAAAAATGCAAATTCAGTACTGGACAATGCTTCTCACCAGTAGACACCAATGGTTTTCCATTTATACAATTTTTACCCTCGATTCAACCCCTCCTCTTTCATCACGCCTGTCAGAGTTGTATGTACATAATATTTTTTTTTCTGCCATATTTTATTTTTCACCGAGACTATTGCATCACAGAAATGCCACTGGGCTGATTCCACATTTATGTATTCTATTATGTTGCAACCCGTCCAAACGATTCATACCCATTCCTATCAATGTTATTGCTGGCCTAGAGATTTTACCATAACAATGAAACAAGAAACTCCGGTCATTGTTACTCCCGGAAAATATGCTTTCCAAATTGAAAAGAATAACGAAGCTGGAAGTGATTTTAATATCACGTTTCAGTGAAATACCGAGGAAAATTATTAATTTATGGTACTGCGAGAGAGCATTTACAAATGATAATCATGTGCGTGTAATTTTAGTTATTTGAAATGAGAAGCGATGGCAGATGTGCACTCATATGCATAAATCATTTCGTCATTGATGGCACATGCAGAGAATGATCTATCGCTATTGGTTCCATCGTTGGTGGGCGTGGTTAAGGACAGCTGACGATTGACAGCGAGCGCAGATGTCACCACCATCCTAACCTTCAAATAAACGTATACTTTTTATCATTGAATATCTCATAAAAAAAAGTTAAAAACCCAGACCACAATCTCCATAACACCGTGCAGTATCAAACTTCCAATCAAAACTCGTCGCTGAACTTTTCAATATCCCCCGCAAGATTATTCATTAATCCCCATAATCGATGGAGAGAAAATTACAGTTGAAAGTTTTAGGTTAGTCCCCTTGTAATACTTTCATCGTCCATTTTATCCGGAAAGACAGTCCTACCAACTTCACCCACCAACCACCGAATGAGCTCCTTAAATCCGCTCGAATTACTTCAATAACCCAGAAGAGCCTTCAACCAATAGATGTATTATTCCCGATTCATCTTAAAAAGGGAGTAACAAAGGAAGAAGATTGCGAGGATGAGAGAGGGATGGGAGGCTGGATTTTCCCATCACCAATTGTCATCTGGAAACTGCCGCAACTAATTTCAACGTGAAATGAGGAAGAGAGAAAAAAAAGTCCTTTGGAAAATTTAACGACAAAATTTCCTTGGGGGTTAAATTTATCTTCATAACGTTTGGACGACTGTAGTTCTAACTGTTCTGTGATCGTTCCCCATTAAAGCATTTCAACAATTAATTCATCTTCACTCATCCCTCCTGCCTCTTCTAACCAACTATCACTGTCTCACTCTCACCCTCTCGTCCATTCTCTCTTCCGTAGTACGTAATTAACGATGCCATCCATAAATTGGAATTTATTCGAGTATACGGCGTGAGAGGGAGTGGAGGGGGGTTTTGTTCACGTATAACCACAAAAACCGCAGTTTCAACAAATTTCATGTCTTTTTCACAGTTTAATTAAAATTACGAGAATGAGTCTGGTGGAGGTCAGAGGATGGAGATGTGACGAGGGAGAATGAATGCTGTTATTGTTCGAGGGACGGGGCTAAATTAAATAATAAAAAAAATCACCTCTTTGTCATCAGTGATTGTCGGCATGAAAATGTGATTCAGGGGGTTCCCAGTTTCCGACGGTAATGCGATTTACTAGGGAATTTTTTTTTTTCTCCAGCAGATGTTTGTGTTTTTACTTCCAACATTTTCTTTAGGTTATGGTAATGACCTCGGTAAACTGCGTTGAAGTAATTTACGTTTAAAGTAATAAGAATTAATATTGAATTTGAAATAAGTTGAATTCACTCAGTTTTTATCATTTTCTCGCGGCTGTTCATATTTCCAGGGGAAGTAGACAAAATATTCATACGACAAAACTTGTTCCATATTTATTCATAAGCCCCACACTTTTGATGACAGTACAACGGGTTGTCTGCGTGGTGTACGCCTGGTATATCTGTAGCTGGTACGCGGAAGCTTTGCATTTTCACAATTTATTTTCCAGATGCAGTTTAACGTGTTGAAGAGAGTCGGGTAAACTGTCTGGGCATTTTCCAGAGTCCAGCGAGGGCATTTAAAACTCCCGCCTCTTGTCCTCTCCCCCCACCACTTTTCACTCCTCAATTCTACAGTCGTTAGGTTGACTTTTTTTTTGTCTCTGCAGCGTTTGTGAAGTTTCCAGCGGCATCTTAGTTTCGCCATTTGCATTTTTACGGGTATTTCAGTGTGGAAATGAGTGCTTGAATGAGAGAAGTGAATAACAAGCTAGTTCTTCAGAGCTTTAGGGGATTCCCCGGTATCGCTGGGTATTTCGGGAGCCACCCGTTGGGTGGGAAATTCAAATGTTTCAGTTAATGGATTGAAAGGTAACATTGAAAATTGTTACAGGGGTACCACCCAATTACTATTCGAACTGAAATGGCGGGAATTTTTAACGAGTCTTAACGTCGTTACTCAACTCTTCGGGATATCGAGGAGAATTCTTTAGCGATAGCTGTGCGAAAATAATGGAGTTTCATCGAAATTGAGTCTAACAGGGAAGTTGGGATATTTTTATCGTCATAACGAATGAGTGGAATCGAGTGAACAGTCGAATGGATTACTTTCCTCGTTCGTTTAACTTTAATGGTACTCCGGGGCTCGGGCAAGATGGCTGATTTGACTGGAAATATCTTCGGCAGGGAGTTCAGAAGGGGGTTATAGTTGGGTTGCAAGACTCGGGGGAGGGTGAAGTGGAGAAGGAGTTGGTCTGGGAGTTGGAGTCAATCGATAGCCTCTGTAATTTTCCTTGGGCGCGTGCTGTGGAGTGAAGTGGGCACCGAGAAAAATCACGTTTAGATTGATCCTTTCTCAGGTGAAAATCTAGAAAAGAGGGATTCTCATGATAACATAAAATCGGAACAAATAACACATGAAAAAAAAAACCAGATAAATCACCTCAACTCCGATGAATCATAATTTCTATTAAAACACTCCTCTGTATCTCCAACTGCATCAGCGATAAATATATCACTAGAAAATCTCTCATTCACCAGGATTTATTCATCCCTGCTGAATATTATTTCATTCAAACCCTGGGAAAAATATAAATCAAAGATGTGATTACATATTTCCCTGCGGACATCAAAGAATTTTAAAAAAAACCGGAGAAACATGTACAACCTAGAAGTTACATAACAATTATCCAGTGGAAACTAAACCGTGGTAGTTGGAGGAGGAAAAAGCACACTACAAAGACCTCAATGAGGTCGACGGAAGGAGAAAAAAAAATGAAGAAAAAGGACACGCTGTGATTGAAGAAAAATAGAGAAATATGAGGCTGCGGTTGTGGCGCAGGCGCGCCCGTAAGGTCACGCAGTTTTGCGTGCGAGCTGGATGTCTAGGGGATTGTGGAAAAAAAAAAATGTTACATATAAAATACAGGGTGTCACTATTACACTGACCCATTTATGAATATCGCATAACGCGAATTGGTGCGTTCTCACGTGACAACATGAATTACGTAAAGTATTGGATACACGTCGTTACCTCTGGACAAACGACGGAGTATACCTCTGCTATATCTCCATCAGCTAAATCCACATATTCTTTCATTTGCCGAGATCAACTCTTGGGATTAATTCTATGTGCATAGCTGCGGTGAGGAATAACCATTCATTCTCACGAAGGTAATTTTCATGAAGTTGGGTATGGATGACGTGACACGATGATTCCAAGTGGCTGCGATGTGGATATCGAAGGAGAGTATTACCTGAAACAGCCTTGGAACAAATGCCAATTTTTCTCAATCATCGTTAAAATGTTTGAGATGTAATCAAGCGGAAATGCACTAGACGACTGGCAACTAGAAAACACCACTAGAGAATCCAACAAAATGCTATTGACTTGATTGAATTAAGTGTTTACTTCAAGGATTTCAATAAAACGTATGACTTCAGCTATTTGCCACATGATTACATCCGCGACGTGGCAATCAGCCAAGAGACAGTCTATTTTTTTAATCGTCAAATTGTTGCTGAAACTATGATAATCTTACGTTTCGATCGTTATCTTTTGGAGTCGTCGCTCATCAGCGGGTTCGGAAACTTTTATCATCATCTTGCTACCCTGATTAACTCACACACCTGAAACTTTGCTCACCTTTTAATTAAATAACCCCGCAATGAGGGAGCCAATTTGGCCAGGTAAAAAGCAAATTTCAGGCGTAAGAGTATCATCATGCTCCTTCATCCTGAAAAAATCCAAGTGAAGAAAAAAAAAAAAATACCTGAAAAGCTCACCTATTCTTCCCATTCTTCTCCACGAATGGAAAAGATGGTCTTGAATAGCACTTGAAGAAGAAAAGACGAGTTTAAGGATTTGGAGTTGGTGAAGAGGAAAAGTCAATAATACTGAGGCCGTTGTTTCAGGGGATCGACCAATTGTCTCATTCTCCTCGAACGAATCAGTGGCCATTAGCAGAAAATGTTGGATGGAAGTGGGTGGAGGCGGAAAAAAAAAAAAAGTAAGAAATTGGTCAAGTACTCTGGGTCGAACATCAATAATTCTTCATACTCGACTGGCTCCATCTTTCTCTGGCTCTTTCTCCTGGCAATCCCTTATTTTTGTTCTTTTGATTCATGTTAGAGTTGACATTAAGTGTCACAAACACACCTGAAACTTTGCTCACCCAGAATTTTAAAATACACGGGTAGGAGCAAGGAGTCAGGCACGTTCGTGACACTCAAAACATCATTCTTCTTTTTCTCCACTGGTTCCATAAGTGGATTATCCCTGACTTGTTGGATTTTCCTCTATTGTCATTTCTCGAGCTCTTGACATGCCTAAGCTACCAAATTTCACAGCTAAAAAGTAGATAGCATTAATCTTATTTTATCCAGTCATTCTGGGTTGTGAAAAATTCATGGCTAGCCAGAATCGAGAGTGCGAAGCCTTGGGCAACGGCCAATTGTAAACAAGGTTGCCAACTCCACAAAGAATACCGTTAAATAAGAATGATGTCTTTGAACGTGTACTTGAAGAATTCAACGCTGTTTTTAAATTCCCAAGACGATATCTCGTTCTCTTTGTACACACTCAGAGCATCTATTCACAAACAATAAATAAAGTATGATTCTCAAGCGCTTTATTGGATCAATTCAACTCTCCATAAATATATATATAAAAACAACAACAAAGAGATTCGGGTAACTAACTTGAATAAAGGTATTCCGCTGACTGAAGAAGAACGTAGTTTCGCAACTCCAATTAGGAGTTTCGTACTAACGATAAGTATGGTTTAAGGCGACAATGGTAAAGGCACCTTTTGATGCTTTTGACGATCTCCACTCACAAACTGTTTCTGCTACCACCATTCCAGTGCCACCTCCTTCACCCCTACAAATTCAAAAACCCAACCGATGTATATAACGCTCGCGCTGATCTCGATTCAACCGGTGCTAGTCGTTCCGTCAAGGCGGATTATCCTTCTTCATCGCCGTTCTTCCCTTCCCCTCGTCCTCAGCTGGGGCTTCTAGCATCGCATCTCGACTCAAACAAACGATGGGAAAAGCCCTCGGGTAAAAAAAAAGAAAAATGAGACTGCTTTTCGGTATTATCTTGACTTTTTCTCAAGTGAAATTCAGCCAGACGTGATCTCTGATGCGATTCTTGGGCTGAAGTCATTGAGACCTCATGGTAATTCTGATCCTCAGTAGTCGTTACACTTGTTCAACAATTAGAGGCGTTCTGGTCCATTGGTTTTCTTGTTTGATTGGCAAATGTTGACAAGGCCAACACGACATTTATACTGATTTATTTATGCTAATGTGGCTATTCATATGGGCCGAGGGAGCGAGAGAAGCTGATGTAGAACAAAGAAAAATCTCTGGCAATATTACACACGTTAATAAATTGAACTGAAGGCTGACAAGGTACTTAGTGCTCTCGACATGATGGATTATTGAGTAATTGAAATTTTCCGGTAAATGATTGCTAGTTGTGTTTGAGAATGACATCAAGTTGATTAGTACCCACCGAATTAACGTGTACTCGTTCGATCATTCCTGTAGGAAGTAACAAATCTTTAATTTTCCGTTAATCAAACGTTGGTCTGAAGATACTGGGAGATATGGTGCGGCTTGGCAACAGCGAGTACTCACGAAAGCCGTCAAATTCATCTGCTGTCAGGACTAAACCAGGAATGATCATGTCGAAATTGTCGAAATGACCTAACCACGTTAAACCACAGCCATCAAAACTTGCTCCGTCTTATCACTGAACTCAGTAACCTCGGTAACTCTTAACTAACTGGGTAACAGCATAGTTTGACATAACGAAAGCTCTTTCATCGATTATGAAACCACAATTTGGGCTTTATCCCTGAGTTGAGCTGCACCCAAAATACTCCAGTTGGACTTTTGCTGGTCCACTGTGAGGATGACCCTCAACATCGTGAATGGTTACAAAAGGAGAAGGGCAAAGTTGGATTTACCATGACCAATGGCTGAGGAAGGTAGAGGGACGATGAGAAAGAGTTATTCCCTCTTTTCTTTGACCAACGTTGGAGGGCAACGTTGGAGATGTCAGTGACCGGAGCATGACCCCGAGAGTCGTTGCACCACTGCCTTGACTCCTTCCTTCTCTCCCTTGTTTTTACATCGTTACTGTATGCATCACAGACTCCTTCAAACACAACCTGAAACATAAAAATAAAATGGTAATCACGTGTCAGATAACTACACTCTGAATGAATGGAACAGGGCATTCCATTATAATGCCTCTAGATACAATCCGGGACTATAATTAATCTGAAAAGATAATAATTCCTCGATTACCCTCAAAACTAATTCAACCAGACTAGGATTGACCGTCAAACTGAATCCGAAATTAATCATTCATAGGCCCCGGGGCTGTGGCAATTCAGAGTTTCTCTCAAAAACTACTGACCTCATACGAAATTCAACAGATGAGGAATATTTTCTCTTCCAGAAAATCAGATTAAAAAAAAAAGAAGCCAACCCAACGAATTCGTCTCCTTTGTCCTGTCTGATATGGATCATTTAGCCTAACACGTGCTCCGGGTATCCGGAAGGCTAAAACGAGACACTAAAAGAACCGAGTGAAAGAGAAGAGCGAACGAGGGGAAGAAAAACAACGGAGAAAAAAATGAGAATTGAGTGAAGGGGGGAGACTCCTGGAATGCAGAAGTGCAGTCACCAAAAGGGGGAGTTTATAGCCATATGTGTGTTAGGTGGGAGGTTACGTCAGAGGAGGAGGGACTCAATTTAAATGCCCGGCATTGCTGAAATTGGTTCGAGTTGACCTGCGACCCAAAACCCAGGGGCAACCGGTTATACATCCCTCTCTCTTCCTCTATCACCTCTCTCGCTACAGTTGTCCCTTTGTACGTTTAACGGTTCAGGTCAAAGTACCATCTCTCTCACACTTTATCTCACTCCAATGTATCTTTACCTTGCTCGCGGTACCCTCGAGCCTATGGTGTTGTTGGATTTTGTAATTTCACGTGACTAAGTCAATTTTACCGTATAAATACCTTCAGCAGTAATATGATAGTAGCACCCTCGGGCCAAACTGGAAACCCAGGGCTCATTTGCTCAGGCGATTTGTTGAATTTCCGCGTTCAATTAGTCCGGGAAACTGTTGCAGTTTCGCGTTAGAGAATTGTTCATCCAATTGTAACAGAAAACTTCAATTACTCATCTCTTCGGAGAATTTTACCATTAAACTATCGATGAGAAACTGAAAACAGAGAATATAATAGAGGACTGAGACTGGAACGAAGTGTTGAAGAAACAAAGAAAAGCCCTCGATTTTTCGGATATTCTAGTCCCACCTGATGTTTTCATTTTACAGCATCCCAGATCCAGAATTTTACCATTATACTATCGATGAATAAAAAAGACAAGTCCAGGATTTCGACATCCATAGTTTCGACTGGGTCCATTGAAAAATACGTGTGGGTGGCGATTGGAGAGAAAAAATCAACATGGATCGAGAGAAAGTGTCGAAGTAACAAAGAAAATCCCCCATATGAAAAACAGGTTATAGGTACTTCTTTGTATACAACAGCAAAACGGGTTTCTGTGCGTCACGCACGCGACAAAGGAGACGATCCCGTTTTGCGCACGCGTTCAACATAAACATGAACGAATAACAGTTTGAGAATCCCCTGGATGGAACGTGAGGGGAAAAAAAATTCATGGACTGTTGCGTGACGCTGTCGAATTGCCAGATTTATATATTTATTTGGTATTAACGATTGATCAATGTGACTTTGAGTGGATGAAGTCGATTTATTGTGATGGAGGGGAGAGGGGGATTGTTACCGAATGAATGGCTAATTAATACATCATGGCCTGGGGGAGGCGTTACCGGAAACCGGTTGCTCGCGTGCCCTCCAATACTTTTTCCTACCACATGGTTATATTTTTTTTTCCCATCTTTAATTCACGGAATTATCATTTTCTCCCATGGGCTTGTTTACGTGAGTTTATGACATCGCGTGAGTCATTACGCTCAGGTCAATTAATTTCAATTAAGCAAATTTTTGTCATGATTTTGGTAATTGCCTCAATGAGGACCAATGGTTATGCAGTTGAGAGAAATTTCGGGTTTTTCGATGCATAATAATCGGGAATGTAAATGACTGAATGAATTATGAGAGACATAAATTATTTTAAGCCTAAAAGGTGAATCTGATATTGATATTGATTTTTAATTGGTGCAGACAGAATAATCAGATTTCAATTGCATGTTGAAACTGCATTCAATCATTAATTCTCAGTTTTATGGATTTTTTTTAATTTTTAAGGAATTTTAGAGAAATGTGTTAGTAGAAGATTAGACTGTGGTAACCGAATTTGATGAAATATTAAATGATTTCAACTGGTCAGGTGTTCGTATCAGTTTAGGAGAACAAAGAGTCAAGAGACGTTCGAGACCAAGTCCTTTGTCATATTCATGGGGTGCGTGTCAGGTCTGGAATAGAGAAGGCACTAAGCGGAATCAATAGCCATCCCCTTCTCTCCAATCTCCAGAGTGATTTCCAGTGTTTAAACTCGAAGGAGTGTGTGGTCTGCACACATTCAAATCCTCCGCACGAGTGAAACCAGATGGTGCAGAGAAAAGAGAGAAAAAAAAAGTGTGACAATGACTGGGAAAATGAACAATGGATTTCTCAAGAATAACGAGAAAATATGGGAGAATTCACCTGAGGATGTGACGACAGTTGAATATAAATTGTGACATAATCCAACAGTCGGGTAGTCATTGTCACGTCATTGTGTCGTTGAATTTGGGGTTATGGCTGCGCCGCCGGCCATTTTCTCGTTGGCCAGGTGATGATGAAGATGGCGGATGCTTGGTTAAACAGCTCGTGTCATATTTCAGTATTTTTAGGGCTGAGCACGGGTGTATCATGTGTGATTATGAGTGTCGAGTGACACAATACCTTCAGAAATAAAACCCACAAGTCATTCGGACCTAGTGGGTTTCACTCTCGGATTCTATTCAGACGATTTTTTTTTCTCCTGGGGTTTTGGAACATGGAGGAGTTGAGAAGTGAGCTTGAGGTTCCTTTGTGTCGTTGGGGGGGATCAAAGTGGGCCAGACATACTTCCGGGGGGCGAGGCGTCAAAACCTCCAACAGAACACCCAAGCCCATCGACTATCCCCGAGGCTTCAAAGAGACTTCACTCGGTGAATGGGTATTTGAAGATATTTTTAATCCTCTTTCATCATTATCATGGGCTTCAAGCAGTTCGGCTTAACGTGAAAAGTCCATATGACTCTTTTCTACTGTTGAAAATCTACGATTAACGAGCACTCGTAAAATTCTCTAGAGTCATTAGCCGTCGAGATGTCGAGGAGGGAAATTAATTCGGATTATTTTCAGTTTCACTGATTTTTTGAATGAAGAAATTCCACGGATTGTACGGATGAGGCGCCATTTAGTTTGCAAAGTATGCAATTAAAATAATTTCGTTGCCTCAACGAATTTTGCACGATGAGGGGTGGACCGGTCTCTATGCAGAACCGGCAAAACAGCTAACGGTCCAAACTTTATCTCTCTCTCTTCCTCTTTCACTCTATTTCGTAGTTTGAAACAGCAATCAACTGGCGTGTCTCTCCCTGTGTTTTTCCTGGTCTTTCACGTTGCTTTATCCAAAGTATTTCTTCCATGGATGTACTCAGTTGCTCCTTTTGTTCTCGGTTTGTGCCTTTTTGATCAAAGTTACCGTAAATCGGAATGTGGCTCTCATCAGGACGATTTCAATGGTGATGGTATTGAGCAAACTTTATTGCTACCAAAAGCTCCACCATTGGAAAACTATCTGAAATCTCAGAAATTACCGTATCAACCCATTTTTTTTAACCAATAATTGTTCAATGTCAAAGGATAATTTCCTGATTTACAAAATTTCTACTTTGAGGAATCCAAGATTATGGGATTGTGATACCAAATAATGTTCTAGATTTCGCCTTCTGATTGATGATCGTCGATGTATCGAAGAGAAAAGAATTCCCATTGAGATAAAAATAGAACAGCCTAAGATGTAACTTCCACACGTGCCACTCCCCAACAATATCAGCCACCCACTCAATTTCCTATTTCCACAATATGTTTGCCGTATTTTTTTTTTATCTCCTCTTTGTTCTCCAGGTACATTTATGCAGTGTAATAGTGCTGGCCAGGGGCCCTTTGTTCGGTGCCAAGGGGGAAGGGTGGAGACTGATGGGTGTTGGTGATCAGCCGTCACGAATTGGAAACTGTCCTGAAAATAATACAGTACACCAGATTAAAAACAGAATAAAAAAAAAAGATGAAAAAAAGCTCACCAAGGTTTGGTTGAATGGTGTTGAAGATAGGGATTCAGTGCGGGAGAACGTGAATTCGATTTATCCGAATTTTCGTTGGTGAAAACCACTGCCACCAACATTCAGTAAGCGAGACAGGAGAAGCAGTTGTTGGGCTTCATAAAGCCCGATGATGAAACTCGATAACCTCTATTATGGCAGAAGTGGGAGCGGTTTCAAGTAATTAATACCGATTGTACCGCGGTGTCACCTGATGCAGATGCAGAGTGATTTCATGTTGATTAACTTTGATAAAAAAAAAGTGTAGTAAACCCGTTCTCAAAGTATCGATTTCGGGATTAAAATGTCATTCAATACTACTCCATTTTTTCAGGTTGAAATTCAATGCCGATTATCATGAATTTTTGGAGGATCTCATTGGAATCAACAGCAGCACCGAAAGACCATCGATTATTCTAGAGGTGCGAGATGATGTGAGTGATCAGGAGTGGAAAACCATCAGTTGACTAAAATTTTACTGATACGTGATCGTCACTGCCGGTCATGCCATCTGTCGTCAAAGGATCAATCAGATAACATTTTTTCACTGACAAATTGTCATTATAAGTTTTGTCAAGACAACCACATGTCCATCAGTTGATTTTGTCAGTGAGAAATTGATTCAATAGAACAAGTGATTTCTTCACAACATTTTGTTATGGATAAGTAACTTTTTCTATAAAATTTAACACGCCACTACTTAGACGCGATATGACTGCCATAAGGTAAGTCGATGGCATTTGTGTCATGTGACAATAAACGGTCAATCATGAATCGGTAAACTGACCACTCATTCCGTTTCTCCTGCGAAGTTGATAACTTCAGGAAAAATTTGTCGACAGGTCCCCGAAATGTCCCAACACCAGATTTATCCACCACGTCTATATGTTGATGCTGAACGTGAGCGGACTGCCATCGCAAAAATAGATAAATAGAAAAAAAAAGAATACCCGATGGAAGAAAACAAATATAATTTCTTCCTTTTTCCCCTTGCAACGCATCGGTTATTCCATCCACGAATCGCTTTTTCTTATCTACCTGAAAAGCTTATTCTAGCTTTCGTCTGGTACCGAGTCTCTGATATTGAAAAATATACATCAGAGTGGAGGAGGTGAGGGCACTACTCCGGGGAATGAAAACTACCCAGGGCAGTGCTCCAGGGTTCTAGAAGAGTTGAAGTTTTCATGTCATCGTCTTATGCTGCATACTCAGTGGTATATTGATATTTTAAACAGGTTTTTAAATTTTTTCATTTATATTCAATGGTCAGAGATCGAGCAACTTGTTTACTTCAACTCTGGTACTCGTGTTATTAATTCTGTACTAGTTCTTAAGTGAATTTACTCGACTGGGACTCATCTGTTGGAAAATTCATTAGTTAGTTATTCAGAGATATTCTTGTATCTTCTGAGACTTTTCTCAGACTGCATTAGAATCTTACGCTATTTTCCGAATTTTTACTCAATATCAAATGACGTATAAATGTATAAATAAATCGATGAATAATCACTCCATAAATAAAACTCCGTGAAGTGAATACGATGAATAAAAATCGATTTCATCATTTCACTTCATTGCTTGAAAAAGATCAAACTAAAATCGGTTTATATCATAATCGGCAGGATATCATTATCAAAATGCAGATGATCTACCGATTAATCTAAGAATGTAAACCTAAAAGGTAAATGAATTCCCTCATAAATTACACATCAATTGTTTAGTGATATGAAAGAAAGTAGATTCGAAATAATGAGTGGAAAAAGTTGAGATTCCACGTAGCAGAGCAATAATAAAGGATAAAAAGAAGAAATAATCTGGGGAAAGTAATCAGTCGTAAGGAGTGGAGTTTCCTCGGTAAACCACAAAACGATTCCAGACCTCTTTCAGCTTCTTGGTTTATCCCAAGTGGGTCATAAGGATGTGGAAGGGAACTATAAGACCCTGGGCGTCATTCTCGCAGGATATACATACAAGACTTTCTGGTCTGAAGTGGCAGGCCAAGTAGATGGGTAGGGGAAAAGAACCTCTTCAACCCAACATTATGCACAAAATTCATGTGTATAGTTTTCAACGTGAATGTCTGTGTGGTCCATAAGGATTGAGTGTTGAGAGACATCGTTTCGTGATGGTGTGAGTCAACCATCGTAAAATTCCATGGAATAAGACTCCCACTGGTGTTTCAAACCCAAGATGAACGTCGTATATCAAATTTTTCCACAATCTACTTGACTCTCTGGACTGGTGATGGCATTTGCACGATTGTTGGCATCATTATTTTCCTTCATCTCGCTATTGCCAGTTTAATGGAGGTATCAACTCTTGTTACACCAGTGTCACCATAAAACATTCGTGCCAACTGCTTTTACTGGGAATTTGGATACTGTCCACTATCGACAATCAGACAGATCACTTGGTTAACGGCTCTATTTATTATCGGGGTTAGGATGGGGCTTGTGAAAAATTTCAGCCATTTCGATGACCTGATTTATTTTCAGTCGACCATTTCAGAGGTAAGTGCGAGGTGTGAATTATGGTGGTGGCACTGATCGATTGCATCATTACTTTTTGTTACTTCTCTACACACCGATTTGGGTTTTCTTGGTACTTCGATTTTTTATCGAACACTGGGAATTTTTTTAAGACTCTATTTGTCCATTCCACGGAACTATTACTTCGGAAAAGGACACTTTGGGTTTTGAGTGAAAAAAAATTGAAGGTCTTGGAGGATTCGCCGTTGGTGAGACTAACTGTTTCTTTAATTATCAGATAATTCTTTATTTTCAAGTAGATGTGGCATTGAAAGACCGTAATTCAAGGAAAATTGGAGGGTTCATTAAAAAATCTAGTATTGAACACGGGAAACATAATTTTCTATATTTTTTGAGATACTAGAGAATTTTCCGGTCGTTTTTAACAATAAATTTTCATAATTACTTCTCTCTAATGAAAGCAAATCCTTAAATCATCCCAACACTTGAATTTCAGTGATAATCAAAACGGGAGGTTCCGATTGCGGATCGAGTGAAAAAAGAACTCGAAATTCTGCAATCTCCTGAAAAAAAATCTGCGGGATATCAATGAAGTGTGACAAAGGTGTCTTTCAACCCGGAAAACAACAAAAAGTAACCGATATGCTCGATGTTTCCGCGGCTACGGTGAATGTTGTGTAATTGCTTGCCAGGTTGAGAGAAAAAGCGCTAAAAAATGGGGGAAAAAAAAAAATGAAAAATGGACGGGGAAGAGGAGAGTGCAGCGTGTCGGATCCGGACGGTCGAATTCCCCGGTGCGATTTTCGTGACGGTGCGGTGGGTATCGACGCGAACCATGAAAACCCGTGGGAATCAGCTTCAGAGTGAGTGGGACACTGACCAGGAAAGGGAATAATGAAAATAACACAGGAATAAAAAAAAAGTCCGAGGGCAGAACTGACGCTCAGCATGACGTGTTCATTCGTACGCCGTATAGCTGGACATTTTTTTTTTTTAGCCCATGAAAAATTATATTTCGCCAACACTTTTTGGCTTGCCATGTACGAAAAGTTTCACCAAAAATTACGTCATCGCCAGAAGCTATTCGTTTTTATTAAAAAATTACTTCAGCGGGTGGAGTCAAGTTGTGAAAATTCATTTTTTGAGGGAAAAATTGCGGATCGGTGAGACAACGCTACTAGTTCTTGGTGACGTAATGTATTTTTTTTTTTATTATTTATTTTTATTTTATGTACTTGGATATTTTATTGGAAAGGGATTTTCTGGGGGAATTTTTAAAGTGTCGAAAATGAAATTATCTTCTCGTGTGTTATTGAACAGCTTTTACGATTTTTTCGTGATTTTTTAACGGAAAATTCGGAAAATTTCCGATAGCTTGGTAAAAGGTTTATTCACCAGAATGCCCAGGGCACCCGGAAGTTTTTATATTGTTACCAGCCGTTCCAAATTTAACGAATTTAGCAATTGGAAATTACAAACTTTGAAAATATTTATTTTATTTTTAATTTAGATAAATTTACATTCAATTATTCCATAAAAATTGGGATCAATCGGAAAAATTCAGATGAGCAAGGTGGAAGTTAAAGGAAATTGGGAAATTATTCTTCCTAGATAAAATCGAATAATACCAGAATAAAAGGAGCTAAAAATATTGCGAGAAAATTTCCCTTTCCCGGAACAAAGTGAGAATTCTGGCATATTCCAAGAAAAATGTCTAATTACCATTAAAAATAAATTTCGTCCCCATGGATTTTCCCCGGGAACCCCTAAAAATATAATTCACCCCCTAAAAAACAAAAATGTCTCCACTCACCCGTCGGCGCCTGCCTGTTCCCTGCAACAAAGAAAGTAAAAAATTGAAAAAGCTTTCTAAATTCAGAACAAAAGTGGCCTAGGCCAAATGAAAAAAAAAAAAAACGTCAGGGAGAAGTGGCGAAATGAAAAAGTCCGAGTGGCAAGAAGCGTCATGAAAAATCTCCGGCAGTGGAGCGTCCTAATTCCGTCGGTCTGATATGGCCTAAAAAAAGTGAAAGAGAGATAGAATAAAAAGCCGACGAGGAAGACAGGAAAAGGGAGGTTTTCATCGTAGGCCGGGTCTCCAGGGCTCGTGGGAATCGAGGGTTTTTATCGGTCACGGAGACACTAGCCGGGGTTTCCCCCTCAGGCCAAAAACCCATTCCAGGGTTTTGGGTTATACCAGGGTATCCAGTAACGGACCAGCGTGGACTTCCATCCGAGTGAAAGACCCATACCATCCATACCACCCATACCACCCACACCACCCATACCACCCAACTATCCACCTACCACCCATCACCCACCACCCATCACCCACCACCCATCAACCCTTGGGTCTCAGCACTGGAGCTCTCCCTTTTTTTCCCTCGGGGTTTTTTTTTTTCTTCTATTTTTATTTTTTATTCTACTCACTTGAAACCCACCGACACCACCTCTCCCTTGCACTTCTTCTTTTGACACTAGAGCAACTCTACACTTACACCGTAAAAACCGAGTGGAGTATTAGTTTCAGGGGTCGTGGGTTGCAATGGCAAGAACTACTTTGGCTACTTTGGAATTTAAATATTATTAAGCCAATTCTATTGTTCATGCCTGCCCTCGGTACTTCTTGTGGAACTCAAGGGGACATTCCGAGGGGTGGAGATAACGAGAAATAGGGAAATGGGGGATTACACGAAGATTTTTTCAGTCTTGTGTGGATTCCATAAGTTGAAATTTTTTTCACATACATAAATTTATTTAATATATAAATCAATGGAATAATTAATTGGTGTGATCGATTGGAAATTTCATTTCCAAACTTTCTCGTTTCTTAAAATTCGATTATCAAATTACTTGATCTAGACCCAAAAAGAAACTTTATTTAATTGCATTATAAAAAATGAAATAGAAAAAATCGATGATAACAAAAAATCTCATCTTTGACTGATTTACCAAATAGTTGAAAATTAATGATTTAATGTATTATCAAATCAATATTAAATTATCAGATTAACAAATTGATAAAAACCAGAAATCGCTGTATTATCTCCGATTGTTGTTCGCATTCGCCAAAAACAAGGAGATTGCTCCCGTGATTAAGCCGCGATTTTCCTCCGGAGTTATCCCTCCGACGGGAAACTACAACATTAGGTATAAATCACGAAATGGGTACCAATTATTCCTGAAGAATCCTTGGCGATCTCCAAGGAGTCATCTCCAGCTGTCACAGCACCGGGTACATGCAATTTTCCAAGACAGGGAAGAGACTAAAAGAAAAACGGTTGAATTTTTCCTAGTAAGAAGAAACGGCTCTAATCGAGCCCCGGGGAGGAGTTTTCGTGGTAGGATAACCATCCCATCAAGATACCAAGGATGGTGTCCCATCGGAAACCCAACAAAACTCCAAGAGCTGTTTGTTGCTCTCATATCTTCACCTTAGAAAAGGGGTGACTCCCTGTGGACATCGAGCCAGGAGATTTGGATAACATTCACCCCTTTCATCAGCCGGAAGTACATTAGAACCGGATGTTTGTCCAATCTCTTCGCTCTGTCCTCCTTTTTTTTTTCTCTCTCTCCAGTTTGTGTATCGTCTTCAACGCATTTGCTGGAGCGGAAGCTTTTACAGTCTTTTCCATTCCGGCGACATGTGATTGATCGATTTTTTTTTTTTCGAGGCCGTGGAGTCGATTTGATCGATAATCGGGGGAGGCATCTGAAGGGGAAGAAAATATATGTAATGGCTTTTTTTCAGGGAATTGACATTATTACGGAAATTACACGGGAACTCCGATGTTTTTGCTCTATAGGGAACTTGGAATATATTCTTAACGTATGGAATTGATGTTTGGGGGAGGAAAGATTGAGGAAGAAAGGATATTACTTCCAGGAAAATATCTACGTTCATTCTTTCTTCTATTTTTTTTACTAGATTCAAATATTTGATGGATTGAAAGCTCTTATTATTATTGTTATTATTGTTGTTGTTATTATTTGTTGATCTGTATTTCTAGCGGACAACTATTCATCTATAACATGAACTTATCTGAAATATCGATTTGTTTCTAACTAATTATCTATTTTTTTATTGAAGAATTGCATTCCATTGAAGAGCTGGAGATGGAAATAATGACCATGTCAGAGTAAATGTTTATGCAATTAACCGCGCAAGATGAGAAATGGGAAAACGGTCAGTGTGGCAAAAATGACCGTCATGTGACCGTCACTGACGGTCATGCTATCTGTTGTCAATAAAGCGGTCAGATAACATTTGACAAAATTTTGTCATGTTTTGGTGAGTTTTTTCATGTGATTGTCCATCAGTTGATTTTGTCAGTGAGAAGTTGATTCGATAGAACGAGTGATTATTTAACAATATTTTGTTATGAATAAATAACTTTTTCCATAAAGTTTAAGACGCCTTTAGTTAGACGCGATATCATTGCCGTAAGGTGAGTCGATGACAATTTTTTTATGTGGTAATAAATGGTCGATCGTGGATCGGTAATGTGACGTGTCACTGACGATCACATGACCGTCATTATGACCGTCATTATGGCCGTCATGATGACGTGTCATGAATTTTGCCTGCGTCACTATTCGAAACGAACTATTCGCAGGCACTTTCCCTAGGTTCTCATCAATCCATAAAAATTCTACTCACTCATCTCTTGATGTCCACCTATTCGCCAATTCCAACTGGTTTTTATCACCCATTCGAATGGAGTTTCCAACCGAATAATCGAAACTTCAAGGATCATCCTCAACGTCTTCATGGAAACGATTTTCCATTTCGATGAAATGCCTCTTTTGTACCCCGAGAGGATGGTATCCATTTTTATATCTTCGTACTCTTTCCATACATACCCATCCCCCTAGCTCTCAGACTATTATACTCTCACCCAAATCCATTCGCCATTTTTTCTAACACTTGGTGGTATAGATATATTTAACCGAGTACTTTTGCCACCAGAAGATGGCCGACCAGACTTATTGTTGAGGGTGAAATGGGTTGGGGATAGGGTGATTATCTCACCCCTTTCGCGAAGATATCGTCGCGGAAGCTCCACCAATGCATTTCTCGTTGTTGTTCACTTCGTAGAATATTTTTTGGGTGGAAGATCGTAAGGACGTGCCCTCTCTTTTTTTTTTCGTCAACTTTGCAGATAAGGAATGAATTGTATTCACCGATTTCTACAGAATGTGCCAGTTGCTCGCTAGGGTATGACTACTATTTTTTAAATCATCCGCGGAATGATATTTCTGATAAGAAAAGAAAATATTTCACAGAACTGGATTTTCTGCGGCCGAACTATTGCATATTTTTTTTTTATCATCAAGTGTTGTGGATTTAATTTAATCAATTGGTATTTTGAAAATTGGAAATTTAATTTATTTAATTTATTTTATTTTGTTTACTGTCGGTTCGCACTTTATTACAAGCTCCAAATAAATTCCACAAAAACTCTTGTTCGTTGAAAACAAACAGACAAAAAACATAAAATCAATTCCCAGGCGTAAAAATAATGTGGAAAATTATAAACACCGGGAAAAATCGCTGAATTTTCCTGATTTTCGTCAAATTTCACTGGTAATCGCGCGGTTTATTACTTCCATGTCATTTGAGCAGAAAAACAATTCAAATTTAATTAATTTTTCTATAGTACTACAAATGCTCTCCCTCTTTTTACATCAGCACCAGCTTTCATCAATTCGCAAGAAATTTCGATTATAACATTATAACAAAACAATTATCAACTATAAAGTTTATGGTTTTTTTAAGCCTTGACAATGACGGAGAGAATTTCTCGGGTGCCACGAGAATTGAATGAATTTTCTCGTCAGAAGATAGAATAAATAATAATTGACATTTGGGGGAATTGCGAGGGGCCTCGGCCCATTTTCACACCGAGTACCTCCCGGGAAAAGATATTCGATTGGTCTCAAGGGGTCGGTGTGGTGGGGCAGTAGAAAACGGGAGAGGGGGACGTTGGAAATTCAGTTTCGTACGTTCGCCCGTGGGCGCTTGAAATTCAAATATAGAACTTGACTGTCTCCCATTCCATTTATCCCCTACCCCATCGGCAATTTCACCATCCCTGGCGGGTTACATCTACGCACCGTTGATTCTCGAGTGCTGTCAATGAAAATAAAATTGACCAAACCCATTTTTTCCATTTTAATGAAAAAAAAAAAATCTATCCAGATTCATGGGATTTTTTTTTTTCAGGGATTTATCAGAGGCCGCCCCCAGCTAGATTTTCGACGGTGGGGTGAGGAGGCAGTCATTTGTGTTATTGGTTATTTTATTCATTCGATTGGGGAGTTGCGGACGGTGATGTATTTGCCAAAATAAACAACATTTATGGATTGGGGGAATTCGAGTCACGTATATTCCATATTTTTATTGCATTTTTGAATTTGCGGAGCAGATGCGTCTTTTTGAGGCTGATTTAATTTATAAATAAACCACATTTGGATATTAAAGTTAAAATTTTAAGGATTAATATTCAAATTTCAAAATTCAATAATCATAATAATAATAATAATGCAATATAAAAATGTTGCAATAATTTTTCTAAATAACAAGATGAATGACAGATTTGATAAACATTTTTAATTTGAAATTTGTAATCGATACTGAGAAAACCAAATTATAAAATTCGATTCGTGTGACTTTAACGCTTATTCACATGACTAGTTCTCAGAATCGCGAAATGTGGAATTTCACTCAAAGTCATCCATGAAAAATGGTCCTGAGAGGCTGCAGACCCCCGTCAAACCCCGGAAGTGAAAATCCGAACTGACGTAACCCAGTCAAAGTTTTTGAAGCTTGACAAAACTCAGAGAGTCGAGTTGAAATAGATTATTTTTAGCCGCTTAGAGTTTCGCACAAGTCTTGTTTCAAGTTCCACGAGATTGGTTGAGCGTGCGCTTCAAGTGTATAATCGTCCATTCCTCAAGGATTAAATACCAGCAAAATTTCAAACCCATTTATAAACAAATTATCAAATAATAACCACCTTTTCACAATTATTCAAAATGTCATTAAAATACCAGAAATATGATTTCTCATTTTATTATAGATAAACATGAAGATGTTAAAGAATAGAAAATAAATAATAGAAGAAATGGTGGATTATTTGACAAAAGTTATTTATTTTTTATGTAAATGATTTTTTTTTTTGGGTGCACCCTGAGGAAATATCTGATCCCGACGAGTTTAGAGCCCTGAATTTTTCCTAACCTCGAAGCGATACAGGCTTTACGAGGAACTCAAGTCCTACCAATAGGTGTCAGGATAGTCTCGAGTGGTTGGTAATCCCCATGGCCATGGAGTTGGGGATCAAGAGGGGAAAATGTTACTTGCAGCTCTACTTCGACATCAAGCCCCTCTTTATCGCTGTCCCTTCCCAATCTTGTTCCATGAGCATTACACGGAGATAATTTTTTAGAAAAAAGCGCCATGAAAATTGGGTTAAAACTGCACTGAAAGCTTTCCTTTCAATTTTCACTGAAAGGAGTGTAAGGAAATTACACCGGTAACTTCACAAAAAACAAACTTTTAAATTTTTAAAAATGAATTCTGATCTTTCTCTATTTTCAAGTCCATGTGATACATTGAAAACAGTGACAATGATGAATAATTAATAATTTTCCAGAATTGGTAATTTATTAAAACGAATTTTAAGCTTTCATTGAAAAATAATTTATCCTTCGACATGGAAATCGAATTTTCTCGGTTTTCAAGGTACATACGTATCATAAAAATCGAGTTGAATAAAATAAAATTCCTTTCAATTTTCAAAGGTGAAGAGAAATATTGAACGTGAATTTCATATTCTAGAATTAGTTATTAAATTGATAAACAATTCAGCAATTATTGCTTGAATTTTTAATGTCCAAGGACTTAAATGATTCGTCAGTTCTCCATATATTTCTTGGCAATTTAGCAAGCTAAAAAAATCCAAGACTGTTTATATCTGCACATCGTAATTCAATAGTTCCCCTTGAGTTGCACAACTGTTTTATGGCGCACCGTGAACAGTTAAATGTTTATTTTCAGTGTCACCTGGGGAGTGACTGGGTTACGGTAACGAGAGAATGAACGAGTTTTATGCAGTTGAATGTGTAAGACGAATCCAAGGAGAATTATTCTTTTATTCTACTCAAGAGTGAGAGGTGGTGTAACGGTTTCGAGTTTGAACGAGTGGGAGGCGGATGACAGAGCAGGAAGTCATCCCTTTCAGATGAAAATCACGGCAATCAGATGTGATGAGTCATTGGTGCATTTGGAGATGAAATATTGAATTGAAAAATTAATTAGATGCCTACGATCACCCGCAGAATCTCCTACTGCGTATAGAGAAAAAAAACTACAAATTTATCGAGACTAATTGAGATTTTTAAATTAATTTTTTGGATTCTGAAATTTAGAACTATTAATTGGAATTGATTATATTAATTATATTCATTGTAATCCTCATTTTCAGAGATTGGTAATCCTGGAAAAATTGCTGTTTATGATTAAATTGTTATGAAATTATTGAATTAAAAAAATTGGGCATAAAGGATTTTAGTGATTCGCAGAATTTATGAACAAAGTAGTTTCCAAGATTAGTTTCTGAAAAGTAAGGGGAAAATTCTGTATCGAAATGATAAAATAGAAGTGCATTTATTTCGATATCTCGGAATTGAATGAACATAGGGAATTTTTTGTGTAAACATTTTTTATATGGCAAGTTACGAGCTACAGAAAAGGTATCTATAAAAATATCATCATGCTCCTTGAATTCCGAGATATTGGCAAAAAACTGGCCTCGAAAAAAGCACTTATCCTAATTGACCAACAGAATTTCTGGAGTTGAAAATTTTTTCTTGTAATAAAAAATTCTTTTTTTCTCTTTTAGTGGTACGACGAGGAAATAATATGGAAAAAAATGGTTGAATATTCCGAAATGAGAGTTTTTTCTTATAAATTCAGGAGCAGTGATGGCGTATAAATTTATGCGGAGCCTTTTCATCCGGCATTTGGTAACTTTATTGGTTCCTCATGTCGTGGAAAGGTGCGTTTAATGGTCCGTCACGTGTAGAGGTGAAATCATTGGATACAAGACTAGGTTTCTTCAGGGGTGATCCCATCTTTTCTCCACATACTGGGGCTTTTCTTTTATTTATGATCTCAACGTTATACTTCCACCCACAGAGGATAGCCGTATATTTTTCCGTGGGTTTTCGCCTCACTTTTTTAGGGGAATCCCACTGGGGTTGCACTGCAAGACCCCATGCACCCTCTTTCTGCTGAGTCTTGACTTTAACCACTAAATTTATATTAATATTTTCTGTCTAACGGAAAGTTTCTCTGATTTTTATATCGCACACCCGGAGAAATATTCAGATTATATTGCGAAGTAATTCGTGTAATCCGCTGTGGAGAATTCACTTTTTAACATTTTTTTTATTGCATAATAAGAAATGATCTTTGAACTAACGATTTGACTCGCGTTTTCTGTTCACGTGAAAAGTTAATTATTAAATTACTAAAGTTCATTTACGTTTTCTTTTCAATTTTTGTTGGCAATTTTTGTTGAATGGCAAAATTTTTATTACAAAAAGTCGTTTGACTTTTCATTATATGAGTTGGAATTTAATTTTAATCAAAAGCGTTCCCCGAATTTCTCATTGATTGATTTTTCAACGAAAATTTGAAACAACAGGTTGAAAATTCAAGGAAATTATTGCATGAATTTTCTATCCCATTTTCACAGTTGTTTAAAATATTGAAATATTGAAAAACAATATCAGAAGAAATGAAATAAACAAAAAATCAACTAATTCATCCATGAAGAATTCTACAGAAATGTCAAGTATAATTTTTCTCGAGTGAAAATTCAAACGAATGAAAATTCTTTATTTTGTAAAAAAAAAAATATGACAGACTGGTTAATTAAGGGTTAATTGAGGGTTAATTCTCAAGAAATGATGAATATTTGAGGGATTCTTCAACGAGAAAATGATTCTTTACAGTTTCCCGACTGAATATTTCAGTCTCTGATCTATCCGGTCCCTCCGTATCTCAACTTTTCACCGAGAAAATCCTCCTTTGATGAAATTTTTACGAACTCCAGACAGAAACGGTGTCTGGCACTAATTAAAATGCAAGATGTCCCCTGGTTGAGGTACCTAACGCTACTGAAGTGAATTATAATCCGAGTATGAGAATGTTGGGTTGCACCAGTGCCGGAAGTTGCGCAATATTTGGCATCAACCGAGATATCTCACTCTCCGAGAATTTAATGCCTCCACCCACGCGGTATGAAACTAATACAAAGCACATCTATCACGATGGTTTCCTCATGGAGACGTTTCATTGAGGAAAACCCTGGCATTATTTTCTTTGTCTCCATTCTTACTGCCATTTTTTATTCAATCGGAAATTTCCATGAAAAAAAATCATTATCGCGACGCAATATTTTGGAAATTATACAAAATATCACTCGATCCAAATATATGCGGAAAATATAAATAAAATATATTTGTGTATATTTTGGGGATATTTTCCAAGGGACTGCTGTATTGAAGAGAAATATTTCTTGAAAGTTCCAGTTCTCGAAGAATATCTCGACATCGACGCGAGCTACCGAATTTCTTGTAATAACCTTTTATGTAGCTCTCAATTAGCTCTGCAAAAAAGGTTATGACAAAAATTTTGGTACCAACCCTAAATTCAGAGATATTCAGTGGAAACGGTGTAAACAATGAAACCCAGTTTGAACAGTTTTACTGCTCTGTTATTTCCGATGCGGAAATTACAGAAAACAGTAAAAAAAAAAATTGAACAAAAAAATTCGACCATTTGCCAACAAATCCCCAGGGACAAAATCAACGTATCGATCATGATCTACCATAACTCCCCCTGGAAGTTATAAACTTGCAATTACGTCTTAAAAAGAGAAAAAAAAAACTCATCACCAGAGAAACAACTCACCACCAATAAAACTGGAGTAATAAAATTTCCTGTCACTGTTGTTGTTAATATCGTGGGAATAATTAAAATGCATGAGCCAGCGAATGGAAGGAAAATTCATAGTAACAGAAATAATAAAGACATTGTGGCCTTCCCGATGGAGAGGAAAAAAGATAATAAACGCTCTGGTTTTTTCAGAGATTAAATCAATGAAGGGCATTTGTTCCAATGGAAAGTGGTGAAAAAAGAATTTTCAATGGAACGGTGTGAGGGAGTGCTGACGACGGATCACAGAGGTTCACAGAAGAGAGAGAGAAAAAAAAAGAAAGGGTATGAGGAAGACGTGAGCTTTTATTTCCAATGGAAGTGAGGGCCGGCTTTAAATCCAATTAAAATATCCCCAGCTCATCACGACCTAGCCCTTTTCTCTTCCTCACTCCATTCTAACCTAAACTCGTGATGAAATTTAACATCCAGCCACTTGACTAGACCGTGAGATGAAAAGACAAAAATCAAAAGAAAAAAATAATCTACATATTATGTTTTTTTCTCTCGAATCTATTAAATTGAAATATCGTTCGGTCATTATAATAAATTACCATTGTTAACCGGTGGGTATTAATTAAAAAGAATAATTAAAATTGTAATTTAATCAAATGCTAATGAAATAACTGGAGTTTGGAACGCTCGAAAATATTAATATTGAATAAAATTTGATATGCAAATTAATAACAATATGGGAGAGCAGTTGAATAGCACTCCGGATGCACTGTGGGATTATATATTAATCATATAAGCCCTCACCACGGTGACACGCACTGAATTTGCGTATGATATCAGGGGAATTCCCGGTGTGTGGCCCGGGAATGGATTTCCGGTGTGTCGGTGTGGGGTTTTTTTTTTTTTGTGTTTTGTGTTGCGTCACTGCTGCATTTTCATCGCAATTTCTGGATAGATCGGGGATTCCCCGACTCCCGTGACTGCAGACCCTGGAGTTTTGCATCGCGCGCCATCTAGACACCCACGGGGAATCCCCCGAGGTGGTATTTCGGGATTTTAGATGGTTTTTGGTCATGGAAAATGCGACCAGTTAGGGTAAGGATTGGTGTTGTGTACGCAGGGAAAAAGAATTTGTTTTCAGAAAAGTCTCGCAATCTTGTGAATTAAGCGCATTAAGTGAATTAAATTTTTGAGAGAGCGTCGGAATCAGAATTAGAAGAATTTTTTTTACTTAAAAAAAAATTGGCCTATTACATTAACTTTAGTAAATTTACTTAGCAAAAGTAATCATTTTTACCAGCGCACCGTCCAGAGAATTAATTTCTTTAAATTGGAATTTCTACCTTCGGGATAAAATAGAAAACAAAAGGGTAATTTAAAAATCCTTAATCTTGAATTTTTTGATCGACATTTTGATCAGTTAGTCCGGATGTAGTTGATAAATGAGAAATTCCAAAATTAAAAAAGGAAAGACTTATAATCCTGTGAATAATTGACTTTCAACTACTCTGAGGATGATTTCCACGTCTTTTTTTTATTGCATAATTTGAAAAGAACGTTAAAAAGATGGGTAAATTTTTTTTTTTATTTGACTATAAATTTCCCTGACGACCCGGAGTATATAGGGGACTTTTAATCGTCATTTTGAGTAATTCCTCATCTTTGTTGAATTGTTGAATGGTTAAAAACGGGAGAAAAAAATGATTCGCAAAAAAAAAGGGCTCAACCGGGATTTGAACCCGGGACCTCTCGCACCCAAAGCGAGAATCATACCCCTAGACCATTGAGCCGACTTTTAAACGAACTACAACCTTTCTCACATCACGATTAACAATCCCAATTTAAGTAAAAACAACCGACAAATCTAATTACCAAAAAATAACTTGGATAATAAATCCATTATTTCCGTGTTGATACTTTTACAGTTTTACATCTCCACAAACCAGTCATAATACTGTTTACTCCAATCTTAATAACACCGACTGTTTAAATAAATTAGTATTCTACTCTCACCAGACAATAATTTAAACCGAGCCGTAACAATACAGAGTTGAAATAAAACGCCTCCGATTTTTGTGCGATATTTTTATCTCCTCCTTAGGTATAAAATGAAAATAAAAATAAAGTTTCAAAGTCACATAAAATGAAATTATGGTTTATGTAATAAAAGAAACTCCATCACTTATTTTAGTACGTAACCTCTGTGCTCAGCTCGTCCATAAATAGAACGACTCAAAACATCTACAAAAGCTTTAGGGGAAACCGAGAAAGAGAGGAAAAGGGGGAAGTGGGTTACAAAGGATCGTCACAACTTCCAACTGAAATATATACACCCGGAGAACAAAGGAAATCATTGAAAGCAAATGCTTGTAACAGAAAAAGTCACAACAATTTTTCGTTGTTTTCAGCTGGAGGTAAACGAATGAAAAACAATCTCTCATTATGAAAAAAGAAAAACACTGCTTTCTGTACTCTTGTGGAAATTGTGTTACGAAATATGCTTGTGGCACATTTTTTCATTCCGCTTTTCAATCCCATCATTGTAGCTTGTCAAACAGTCCGAGAAACTAACACACGTGTTATGTATTTTAACTTCGAATGGTGCCGCCGGATGTGCGCGCATCGCCTGCCCGGAACAAAGGAATCGTTTTAGGTCATTTCTTGGGAGGAATATCTTTTTTTTTCATCCATGGAAAGAAAGGTAATTTTTTAAGGAGTCGAGAAGACCATTTGAAATTTCTCGAGTTTGCTGTAATGAGGTTGTGAAAGTGAGGATTCAAATTTTTTTATTGTCTAGAAAAATTCAAGGATTGAGGTTAAAAAATATACTACAAACAAGTTTAATAAAAAAAACCATTACTGTTGAAAATCCATGTTTTTCCACGTGTAAATGTCGAAAATTGCCCACTAAATGCAAAAGCAACTCGTATTTCCCATCGAATTCTCATTTAACGGTTCAAACGCTCCAGTAAATTCTCCCTCCCCCCCCACAAAAACCCATACTCCTACCAAAAATATTAATAATTAAAAAAAAACATTTTAAACTATTTCAGTTTCTCTAAAATATAATCCACAACCGCTTCTCATATACCCCCATTAATTTTCAAATATTCGCGAAACCCCGACTCTACAAATCATTATCACCTCAATTTGTTTAAATAATTTTTTATAATTCTCACAGCCCTTAACAGAATTCCACTAGTGGTTTTAGGGTCACCTAATCGTTGAATTGGTAAACCGATATGCAACGAGAAAATAACCGTGGATCAATTGATAGAAGAGGGGGAAAAAGGGGGGGAAGGAAGGGGGTGAGAGAGGGGAAGGTACAGAGAATGGAAATTTGTACACGTGATTCTGTGCACGACAGACTGGATAGGGGCATTTTGTGATGATGAAGGTGTACCAGAAGAGGAGGACGAGGGGTTGAAAAGGGGGTGGGACGAGGGGTACGAGGGGGCGGGTAATGGTGAGATGAGGGGGAGAGCAATAATTATTGTCCCATCGTCGTTCATTGTTGTCTCTAATCGGTAACGAGATACCGACAATTAAAATACCGACTAAAATCTAACTAGTCGTCGCCACTCGCATAATGTCACTTTAATTATGATTTTTTATTACTAGTAATTAGTCTATCAGTCATGATATCGTTAATTCCTTTCAATTCCCCACCCAGCACTTGATACGAATCTCGTGGGCAATGGTTGCGTCACGCGATTTTAATGACGTGTCGTTATGAACTAATGGGGTCGTTAAAATTATCATTTTTGGAATGGTGATTGAATTGATGATTTAATTGATTGATTTAATTAGTGGAATTTATTGTTCATTGTTGGCTGGATTACGTGCATCAAGTGAATGGAATTTTTCAGAGGGAGTCGGAATCCGAAAGTTTGAAGAATTTTTTTTTTTACGTTGAAAAAAGTTAGTCTATCTATTAGTTAGTCTATCTATTAGATTGATTTACTTCGGGTAAGTTAATTTGATGAAAACAAGTGATTATTTTTATCAGTGAACTTTTCTGAGAAGTAATTTCTTTAAATTGCAGTGTTTACGTTTCAAATAAAATATAGAACAAAGGGGTAATTTTATTAAGTACTTAATGTTGATTTTTTTCCACGACGTTTTAGCCGGATGTAGTCGATAAATTACAAATGCCAGAATAGAAAAAAAGAGAGAATATTCATTAGGAAATTATTCTCAGAGCAAAAACTGATCGTCAATTCTCCAAAAATGAATTAAATACTCTTATTTTTGTGTTTCTACATAGACTCAGCCTTTCTAAATACTTTGAAATAATGCAAAGGATACATTCACCCAATTTGAAAAACTGAGACCTAGTTATTATAAAACCAAATTTGTTTATCATAATTACCCCTTAAAAATGATGAAATGTCAAGTAGACAATATAAAAATGAAAAAAATAATAAGAGTCACTCACCAGAGGGATATCTTCGGGACGAGTCGTGGCGGTTCCTGCAACAAAAAACAAAATCAATTAATGGAATGAAAGGGGTGATCAGTGAGGAATTACATTTACAGATAATCCTGGAAGGTTAACCAACGCTAAACGAACCTCAATACCTCCACCAGAATTCCCAAAATAACTCATGAAATTAGAACAATTACCGGGAATAAAAAGTACATTGAATGCACTCCTAGAAACAGTAAGATAGGTAATAGTACAGAATCTCGAATTTGCTTTGAGCTGTGTAATTATCGTCGGCCAATTTGGCTTTCCAATCGTCCTAAAGGCACATTTCACCCTAGTCCTCATTCTCTCGTCTACATCTCTCCATGGCAAACTCCCATAGACCCATTCATTCTAGTTATAGCCTTTTGAAAATCCACACCAGGTGGCTATGCATTTTGGTCTGTATCCGATGAATTCACCCACCACAATATTCAGTCAGACACATGAGCAACCATCCAACAAGTTGGAGGCATTTGCATATTCTCTATTGCATATGCATGGTCAACTTGACCAATGAGAGGCACCAGCCCCAGGATGTGCTTCTGTATCCTGTGGGTTATAACAGACTAACAGCATCAATGGACATGTGACGGGTTAAGGACATCCAGGTGCCTCTTCACTTCAATTTTCAAACAATTTTCCACAAAATTCCATTTCCCTCTGCAGCGAATCGAAAAAGAAAAAATTCAAATATCCCCAAAACCGCAAATATCTCGGTACCTACGGGAAATAGCGAAAATTTTTGTAGGACCTACTTTGTAGAGCGGAATGAGATCTACAAAAAAGGTAATCGTCAAAATTTTGATAATTTCCTTCTATCAAGAGAATTTTATCGAATAATATCATACGCGAAATGAAAAATGAAAATTCAGGAGAATCTAGAATTTTCGCTGTTTTTCATAATCTTTTCCAAATAATTGAACTGAAATTTCCAATTTTCCGAACATACGTGAGGTCAAAGAACAGAAAACTGTAGATTTAACTTAGTTTTTTACTCTTTAGTTGTGACAATTGTTTATAATAGTGGGAGCCTGAATATTATTCTCACAATATTCCTGTCCCTCGAATCTCCCAGATGGCGGATATAGCCCGGAATATCGAAACTAATCCGTTGGAACATCTCTCGATACACCCGAGTCATCAATAACCGATGATACCGATAATCTCCTGTCATCTCTCTTCCATATTCCCCCGACTCCTGAAAAATCATTGCATTAAAATTTAAACGCAACCGATGATATCCCATCGACAAAGCCACACGAGGATTTCACGTCAAAATCATAACCCAGTTCATGCAGGATGGAGATACCCCGTTATTCCAGTCTGATGACGGTTGTCTAATTAATATTACATGAATCATTGGAAACGATCTGATTGGATGATCGCGTGTGGGGGAGGGGCAGGATGAGTTTGTGGATTCCCGTTTCAACTCATGCATCATACAGCAGGATGATTGCCATTCGTTTTTGGTGATTGCATTTTCGAGGCATCATTTATCCATTATTCATCGATATCATGAGTTATTCGTGGAATTTTCGTCAATGTTTGTGGTCAAGTTCTTGTTGTTGGGGAAATAACGCGCGCATAAGAGAACGTGTGCTGATACAACAGATAAATTACATTTTACTTTGAAGATCGAGAGTTCTTGAAATCGATGGATTTTTCCTTGGAGTTGAAAGTCTCGTTTTCTGAGTTTCATTGATCCTCCATTATTTCCAATCACGGAATTCTTAGAAGTTCCAGGAGGATTCGAAAATCGAATGAAAGCGAATTCTCAAAGTTATTAATTCTCAGCTAAATGGGAATTTATCCTGAGGAAAAAAGTGGTTGGAATAAGAGTTCCTGGAATTAAGGAATTTTCATTGTTTTCCTGCGTTCCTGATTGTTCACAATATTTTCAGTTGCCAAATTTCGTTGAGTTCCTGAAGAACTCCAGACTCATGGAAAAACTCACTTCAAACGAATAATTAGTTACAGACGAGAGTTCCTGGAACGAAGGGATTTTCCCTGGGGCAAGGAATCCTTTTATTTATACGAAAAAGTAGAAAGGACGTAATTCAGGACTAATCGATTAGCTGTCAGCGTGGGTACCACCCCGTTTGTATCGTTCGGCAAATGTATGGGGTTAAAATGGGATATAACCCTAGCAGTATTTTAGTAAAACTCTTTCCCCTGTTACAATGCCTCGTACCTCACGCCAAGGACATTCAAATTTCACGCATGGGTGTGCCACACTGGTTGTTTTTCATGTTACCTCACACCATCCTCGAGTTCCATAAAAAATATATCCCGCAATTTACTTTTTCATCCGGTACAGGAGAGATTGAAAGTCAGTTTAACGCATGAAAATTTCATTTTCATCAACACCGAAAACTATATTAAAATACACAACATCCATATATGCCAATTGTATATATTCACGAACATTTCGATAGAACAGAGGGAATATATTTTCGAAAATGCAGGGCCTCAACGTCAACACAAATTCTCATTTTTTTTTATCGCATTAGAAAACAAAACAATTTGTCCATTTAATTTATTTGCATTTATATGAGACGTTGAATTTTTAAATTACATATTTTTAGTCTTATCTGATTGTTATCGGATCAGTGGAATTTGAAAGTAAATGGGCAAGGGTTAGAGAAAAATAGAAAATACTTTCCATAAACGAGTTTTCAGGCTGGTTTTCAAGTGATGCAGATATATTTAAACAATTATTATTTTTGTAAGGTCAGTCTATTTATAAAAATGAATGCCAATAGAATTTTTAAAAACTAAATCGAATAAAATTCCTCAACGAATTTGCGATAAATTTTTGTACCACACTTTTTGTGGATTTTTAACGCAATTCTTCCAGCAATTTATTTTCGAGCGAGACCCTAATCTGCAATTCACCACAATCACCGATAAAAATATAATAACTGTAAATCTTGTTTCATTTCCAGCATAAAGTTCCCGCCAAAGTGCGAGTTCCGGGAGATAAGGGAAAAAAATTTGAACAAAAATCTTGAATGTGGAAGGGACAGGTATGTGTATTTTAAAACGACTTAATCCAAAAAAAAAAAGAAATGTTTAAATGGCTGACCTGAATGTGTGCACCAGTGGGTCCACACGGCCAGTCGTTATCGCCCTCGGGACGACATCCGGGGACCGGTAAGCCGGGACTTAATCTAATCTTTCCCCTCTCACCTTGACTCCTGTCCCCTCCCTCCAACCCGGAAGTCACCGCCAATTCAAACCTCTATTATAATCATTATGTTTGAGGAGTTGTAACAGACCTGCTGTTGCTAATATGGGTTTGTTATCGAAAATATATTCCCGTGTTTACAGATTGATAACGCAGAGTCATGACTACAAAGTTGAAAGATTTCGTAGGATTTCGTGGAATGGTGGGTGTGCTGAAAATTGGCCACCATTTTTTAATTCACTTGATAACTCCACGAGTTAACTCCACGAGTTGACGGAATTTTTGGAAAATCGTGACGATTTTTTAATTCACTGAAAATACGATTTTACATTTGGAAACTGATAAGAGAAATTGATAAGCCGTGACTACAGTTGATGGTTTTTGAAAAAATGTGTTGAGAATTCGGAGGAATAATGGCGAATTTTTGGAAAATTGATAACGAATTTCGAAGTGATTATCAAACTAAAAAAGATATTCAATATATATTATACCACTTACAGATTAATAATAAAAACCATAAAGTCATTAAAACAATTCATAAATTTCAAGAAATCCGGTGGTTAAAAAATCAATAATACAATATTATTATATAATAATACAATAATTTTGATTTTGAAAACTCTGCAAAATATCAAAAATTGAAAAATCTCGACTTGTTCATGATTATTGACTGAAATATTCTAACCTCGACCGAAAACCTGACTTATCTCACGGATATCCCCCCAATTCGGTGCCCCCCTCCCCTTCAATTCCAAAAATTACTAGTAAAAACTCCAAATGATGACCTGATTGGCCAAAAAGTCTGCAAAATTCCAAGTGTAACCCGAGCAATGGCCCTCGACCGAGGAATGCCAATTTCCATCACCCCTCGGCACCAATTTCCCCGAGGGAACCCCTCAATTAACATTTTTAAGACCCACATATTTCACTGGGAATCCCCCCCGAAACAGCTGACAAAAAGAGAACAAAGAAAATAGTTGGCGCGTGCCCTCAGTTGGTCACCTGTTACCGGCAGGTGGCAGGAGGTACGGATCGTTGGTTTAACACTCCAGGAAGGGACAAACCTCTGGAAAAACCGGAAGATTGGGACGGTGAAACTGGAGATATTGTAAAACGCAAAAAGCGGTGATAAAAAAAAAGAAAAAGAAAAATGGAATGAAGAAAAACAGTGAAGATCGTTGCGGGATCGGAAGGAAGAGGAGTAAATCCAACTGGGCACAGGTGGTCATCCTGCGGTTGGATTCCACGTATTCTGGGGATTTTGCAATGCTTTTTTATTCTTCTGGACTTAACCTCGGACCAGGGTCTACCTCTTACTTCCTGAGGTTGTGAATAAATTGTGGAGGCGTGGGGTGGATTACGTGCGGCAAAACCAACTGGATGAACCTGATCAGGCTGGAAAATATTATTTCAATTCAATTCAAGGGGCTTTCTCCTTCAAAACCAACGTTCGAGTCCAATTCTAGTACCAATTATTTAAGAATATCGAAATGCTTCTCGTTATTTGACACATTTGGGTAGAGACCTGAGGGTAGCCGCTCTGAATAATCTAATATAAATAATTCTAACATGAATACTTTGATATTGTGATGAAAAATATCACAATGAAAGATATTATTGGTAATAATATCACATCATATCAATGACATACATTGAAAACATCATGATCCTCTCAATTTCGATTCTTCCTTCTGTTGTCCTGTCCCTATATTTTGATCCTCTGTTTTTCTTTCGATTTGGTTTGTGGAATTTTCGATTGCTCAGTCTTCTATTTATTCTGTTTACTTAGATATTGATTTTTCCTGTTCTGTTCTGTACTGCGCGTGTGATATTCTGATTTTGCGTTATTATTAGCTCATAATATTTTAAATATTATAACATTATAATTGTAACATCATTAGTATGTGATATTTACAGACGTTTCCCTGTGAGGTCACCCCAAGAATGAAAAACTGTCAAGTGACAAAATATGAGCGTCATGTGACCGTCACAGATATAGCATTTCAGAAATTTCCAGGAATTTTCAAAATGAATGGGGAATTCAGTGACCGTTTTTCATTTAAAACGAATTCGAACTCATAGTTGAGTGTTCAGAGAAGGAAGAAAATCGGTTTATATATCGGCAATAATAATTCTTTAATTTTCACAATTTTAATCTTTGACATTGCTCTCTTATTCCACAATGTCATTTGAATTTTCAATTACAAGAGATTGAATTTAATTTCGGGGATAAACGCTCACCGAATGTTTGATTCGTCACGAAAATTCAAAGGGAAATTAATTATCATTTCAGGCAAAATGATAATTAATTAACTCATTGCAAAAATCGAATGTCAAAGTGATTTTTTTCATTAAAATAATTCGGCTTTTCCATCCGAGGACTTGAGTGTTCAAAACATTTTCATTACGCGATGTTCTATTTCGAGGCACCATATCACCGATAAAAACACATGAAAAATTTTCATCAGGTAGTCTGTTTTCTACATCTCCCCCAAGGCTGTTGGAAATACTCTGTAAATGATGGTGGAAATATCCATGTCCATGGAGTCTTATCTGCTGAGTGAAAACAGACGCTGCAGACTTTACCCTGTACTCATTCATCCCCAGCATTTTGTTTATAAATAAAGGTGTACGGTGAGGTCTGTTTATTCCAAGGGGGATTAAAGTGTAACTCCACGATTGTTGGTGGAAGGGATCAACCGAGACTCAGAGGATGTATTTTTAATGAAGGAGAATTGAAATAAATTTCATCAAAAAGGAGAAAAGGATTAATTTTTCCCTCAATGCGCAGATCACTGGTGGAATGGGGTCCTAATCCTAGCAAGCAGGGATTAAATATTCCATATATCCCAAGAGGATCCTAAAAATTAATTTTAAAAAAACAGGACTCATTTTTCGACCAATTAAATATCAATTTATCTTGAAATCTACGGAGTTTCCATGAAAATCGTAGAGAGCTTTTTCGTAGCTGATAAAATTCTCGATAAAAGATGTCTTTTGACACTTCTTCCTAGAATCACTACTTTCTCAGATAAATCGATATTTAACGAACAAATTCCGAAATGAATTCACGATTTTTGGTTGAAGCAGAAAGAAACCGTTGAAATCACCTTCAATTATCGATTTATCTCGAAAACTATGGAGTTACAACGAAAACGCTAGAGAACTTTTTCATAGCTGATGAAATTCCCGACAAAAAACGTCTCTTGACATTTTTCTCTAATCTTCTTACTTTTTCTAATATTTCGATCGAACTGAATAGAAGACGATTTTGTGTTGAAATAGGGAAAAATTACCGTGAACTGACACCTCAAGAGGTCAAAAATCCCTTCATCACTCGAAATTTCATCACTGCCACTTCACAGAACTAAAAGTCTCATTACAATCCACTTAACGCACCTCTCGGAACATTGAAGACACTTGAGAAACAACAAGGGCCTTTGGAGGCTAAACTGAGCACTCGTTCCAGCGCTGAGTTTAGACCGTCACTGTCTCTCTTTGAAAGAACTTCACCAACAGAATAGAACAGAAGTTCTGGGGATTTTCAGTGGAAAAGTGGGGGATAGATCAGGTGGGGGATGAACTAGTGCGCCGGAGTGGGAGTCAAAAGGAGTTACTAGTGGGGGAAGATTTTCAGGCAGCTAGAAAGACAGCAGAAAGCAGGAGTTGGTAATTTCATTAGCTTTGTTGATAATCCTTGCTCACCACCAGGATGCATTCTCTTTTGTACACAAAACCCATTTCAAATCCACTTCACCTCGGCGTTTGTTTCTGTTAATACTAATCCCGAGCAATTCCTACCCCCCAAGTCTTCTTGTTGTCTTTATTTTTACCGAGTAGGAGGAATTTTCTGTCTCACAGCTTTCAATGTGAACTTAAAAATTCTCATGAAATTTCGGTGTCATCTGAATTTTTGATTGTACCAAAATGATCACCCATAGGTCGGTTTGAAAATTAAACAAGATGGGGTTTTTCATGTTCAATGGTCATTGATTTGGTTCGATGGGAGAATTAATGGTCTTCATGATCATGAAGAATATTCAAGAGCAAGTACCGTTTAACTTTTGGTAGATGGAAAATTCAGGGAAATTGTTGATTGAATTTAGAACTACCAGAATATTTCAAAGTTTAATAGAACTGTCAATCAAGAATTCTATAAAAATTTTATATCACTTTGTAGCTGCGAAAAATTATCAGTTTTTTAATTTATAATTTCAATTTTCAATTGCAAGTTTCCCACGGTGTATCACCAGATTAACAGAAAAAATACCAAAAATTTTTTATGGAAGTTTTGTAATTTATTATAAAAATTGAATTGCACTCGATTGCATCTCTCAATGAAAAAGAGAATAAATAATATTCATAAACTTCAAGGAATTCAGTTGTCTGTAATAAGTACAAATCAATAAATTTCGATACATTCTGCGCGTATGAAGATTCATGAGTTTCTGCCTTGAATTTCAAAAGAAAGTTTTAAACAGTGTATGTTTAAAAAAAGTCCACGCGTCCGGTTTAAATTCAATGTTCTAAGTATTTTGTGAGCTAGTGGAGTTTGAGTTTCTTTGAGGGTTTTGGCAGAGATGGACTTTGCTGTCGTTTCGTTCGGTTTCTGAAGGCCCAGGTCTTTGTGGGCTTTTTTGAGAGCTTTGGGTGGAAAATTCCACTGGCATTTGGAGTAGTTTCACTAAATTGTGAGAGAATCCGTGAGCCACTCCGATACAGCAAAAGTTTGAATCATTTGGAGTCGGAGAAGCGGTTGTTTGTGTCGGTTTTTGGGCTTTGTAGGGTGGACAGGTCTTAATTCAAGAGCCGGAAATATCAGAAATATCTCGGTACATGAAACAGCTGACGCGTAATTTCTCATTTGGAAAGTTGGATTGAAGGTGGATTCACCCTCTGCCGAAAAAATTGAGCAACAGATTCTACTCAGGTAGTGGTAAAAAAAAAAGTTGTAATAAAGACCCGAGTGATGTAAGTACCCAAAGTCTGATCAGATTGTACAATATTTTCCAACTTGCTCAGTTCGCGCTCGAGTTGCCACTTCAATCCGAGTGAGGCTTTCTCTCGTACGTCTTTGCAGTCTGTTGTATTCGATATAAACTCCATTCTCCTCGAGAACTTCTTACCCAAGAATTTTCCATTGTAGCGGAATAAGAGGATGATTGGAAATCTCGGAAAAATCGATAGTTCAACATACCCAAAAAGAGGGATGTCACCGGCCCATTTTTGATTTGATTCAAGTCGAGTCACTCGGACAACACCTGAAAATGTCTTTATTTGGACTTGTCAACCAGCGAATTCCACTTGAATCAAGTTCAACAATTGACTTGAGTCAATATTCACCGATGACTTGATTCAATTAAATTCTGTGAATTGATTCAAGTAGATTTTACAATTAAAAGTCTGATGGAGCGATAATTTACCGGAAAGTCCTTGCGCTCATGAATTTTATCCAATCAAGTTTTGTAAGATCGACTTGAATGACTCAAGTCGACTGTCAATCTGACTCAAGTCGATTTCGAGCTTGAACTTCAAGTAAAAACTTTTCTCCATCGAATTTTCCACAATCGCAGTAAAATAAAAATCGAAAGATCAGAAAACTTGAGTTGAATCAAATCGCAAAAACGACTTGATCTTTCTCAATGCACTTGATATCGGAGAATTCTCGAACCCACAGGTCAGTACAAATCGACATCGTGAATTTTATCGAAATAATTGATCCAATAAACCTCCGCATGATTCATAACTTGCGCCACAACATCGATTACCCACATCATGAAACTAAAATACACTCTGAATAAAACTATTACGCCACACAGTCACCGTTAGCTAATAGAGTTGAATTACATCCGCTCGCCCTTGCACCCACACCGTTAATAATTATAAACAGAATGATCATTATCGTTTCTTATTGGCAGTCTCGAGTGATATTTCCCAGGTTTTTTTTTTCAAATCTCCAGGGTCTTTATTTTCCCCTCATCCTTCAGTGGCTGGCTAGAATTACATCCAACTGCCCTTGCACCCACGTGCATTGCCGACAAAGTTGAAGCCTCTGTCATTTTATTTTCATTTTTTATTTTTATCCTTCTTCCTTTTTTGCCCTCTTTTTTTTTACATCATCCGCTTTTATTACACTGCGGTTTTTCAGTACCTGCGGTATGGCTTGAATCAAAATCTGTCCCAGTTCAATTTACCCAACGGGTTGCATCATAAATTCTTCTTTTTCTCTGTGTTTTATTCTGTTTTAGTGAACTTGATGGCTGCGGTGAGAGATTTTAGGGACAATTGTTTTCACGCTTGCATTGAGTGATTATTACTCATTATTACTAGTTTCTTCAACTTTTTTCCACGGATTTTTCGTTACGTTTTCATCGGCGGGCGAATTATTTAAGGAAGTGTTAGCGCGAAGACTAAACTGGGGAAAAGGGCGCAAAGTATCGGGGAGTGGATATTTTATGGATATGACGGTTTCACATAAACCTTCAGAATGGGTCTAGTTGGAATTTTATGGTATTCACACGTTGTTAAAAAGTTTTGAGAGAATTTTCCAGGTTTTGGGCATGAAATATCAAGCACGTGGGAGCTCTACGGAATTTTAGAGAATTTCGTTGAAAGGTTATGGTTTTGACAAAAAGAAAGATTTTTTCTTGTTTTTATAGTTTTCCCAGGCAGGAGAATTTTTCCTGATGAAAGAGGCGAAAACAATCAACTGTTGGTTGATAAAAAAATTTGTTAAAAAAAAAACATTTCTATTTTAGCATTTTTGAGATTTTCAGAATTCTATTGTTGTATAACCGGGCTATATCTATCCTAAAGGAAATTTATTTTGAAAATATTTGGATGGAACTTTGTGGGTTCGAGGTAAAAACCAATTTTTTGGTTTTTATGTAAACTTCAAATGAATTTCTAGAGTGCATCAGCCAATTACTATAACCGTCAGAGTGATTTTTTAAAGAGAAAAAGAAATATCTTCACAAACGCACAAACGTAGCTTCATTTAATTATTCGATGGCAACAAGAAATTCCCCGTCTCGTCTTTCGATATAATTTTCTTTCGATGTTGCATCGCGTTTGATACCATCAATTGAACAGCTTCTTTGTGAATTCTCCCACTCTCTTGTGGCACTCGTCCCCCTCGGGGGTTCAATCGACAAATGATTCGGTTTGATTCTGCCTTTCGGGGAGCATTCAATTGGCTATGAAATTCAATCAACGGAGGAAATTCTGCATGGCGGTACGACATTCAGTCGTGTGCACAGGGGAAGGGAAAATTTGGACGAAAGGTGTATAATGCGTATGGTGGATTCACAGTTTATTGAACTGAATACTGTGATTTCAGTGGGTGGGGATTTATGAGTTTCCAGGGGGGGCATTGTAATTTTCAGGGTGAAATACTGATTCCAGAGGTGAATAATTCAGTGAATAATTAATTAGTCACCATTCATGGGACATATTCCCGGAAGGCTTCTGCGCAGTTTTCCGCCCCCATTTTGCCCCAGTCTTTCTAGGTACTGGTCAAAATTTACAACAATTTCAGGCACAAAGTTATATAGATCTTTTCTTCTATGAGTTTAAAGTCTATTTCAATCAAAAACACGCACGAAATTTCTTATTTGTCTTGAAAGTTAGAATAAATTTATAATAAACAAATTTCTCATTCGTCAGTGAAAAATTAATTTCAATTTTTTTCATTTACAACTTCAAGTGCAATTCTCCAATATTATAATGTCTCCTGAGATTTTATAATCTCCCAATTGTCAATTACTATTAATAAAAATATAATAAAAATAAAACTATTAATAAAAATACTATTAAAAATTGACGATTAAAAATTTTTAGAGTGGAATATCTGATTCAACAATAATTTCTAGTGAGGAAATAATTTAAGAGTTATCAATAAATTTTCTTCTATTAGTAGATTTGCACTTTTAGAAAAAAAAACTGTTTGACAAGTGATAAATGTGAATATTTTTAATTGGAATAGAATTAAAACTGGAGTAATTGAAAATTAAGATGATATTACAACTGAACTAGCAAGGAATTCATAACTGAAAATTTTCAGTGCAAAAGGATAACCAAACAAACGTATTTGTCTTCTTCCACATAATTACAGTCATTCTATATATAACCCCTGAAGATCGTCACATGTGCGCTGAATACGTAGTCACACAGCATGAATCATGCCACGCAATGAGTTACGCAAGAGTCACTAACAGTTGGTATTATGGTAAGTGAGGATATACACATATGCCAATAGAGTCCGTGGAATTGTCACGGCAAGTCTTTGACGAAAGAATTCATTCCATTTTCCCACCGCTTGTATTTTCCACACACACCCATTTCGACATTGTCTCTTCAAACGCCTGGGAAAACCATTACTACCCATCATTGATCGGTTACCCCAGTACCACGAATGAATTATCATTCATGACGTGTCAAAGGACATCAATGTCCTCTTCCATCGCAATACCATATC